TGGAATATTATCTAATTTAGAGCGTTTTACACACTTCGATTTATAAAGCTGAATATACTCCATGTCTAACAACTGAACATTTACATCTCTTGTATCATCTTTTAATTTTTATGTTCAAGTTAATACAAAAATAACACTTAACATTTTTAATTCGTTATTCATAAAAAATGACCATAGATACTCTACCAGGTACTCAAACTTATATTCAGTTCAAACTTTTTTTTGCCGCACTGAGATTTTAATATCTATCTATCTATCTATATATATATATATATATATATATATATATATATATATATATATATATATATATATATATATATATATATATATATATATATATATATACATTTATGTTGGTGAAACCAGAAAAAAGTTTTTATTAGTTTGATAAAAAGGGAGGTGGTCTTCTATACTTACAATCCAATCTAAACTACAATGTCTGAAGAGATCTTATAGTATATGCCCCAAAATACCTAGAATCTATCTTTATTGAAATCATCAATCCTTTTAAGAAAAATATCATTGTTGGCTGCATATACCGGCATCCTTCAATGAACCCAAAGGAATTTATTTCTGATTATTCTAATCCTTTACTTAAAAACATAGTTCTGAAAATAAACAGGTTATATTAACGGGTGACTTTAACAAGGACTTACTAAACTACAATGAATCCCTTATTATCTCTGATTACCTTGACTCACTTTGTTCTTATTCTTTTTACCCAACAATAATTTAACCAACGCGAGTAACCTGTAAATCTAAAACAATTAATGTTAATATTTTTTTAAATTTTTAAATTCCTAATCTTATTTCTGATAACGTAACAATATCAATTTTAGATCACATGGCACAGTTTGTTTGCATTCCTAGTACTCCTTTCAAAGAAAACTAAACGATCATTCAAGAATTTCAATGATAATGAATTTATTCAGGATATTTCTAATATTGACTGGAAGTTTTATGTCAAAAATGGTAATGATGTCAATGAATCAATGAACTTCTTATTAAAAACATTCAACACAATTCTTGATTGTCATGCCCCGTACAAAAAACTGACCAAAAACCAAGTTAAACTTATATCTAAACCTTGGATCACTAATGGAGATCTGAAGTCAATTGCAATTAAAAATAAGCTCTACAAAAAGTATATAAAATCTAAAAACTCTAACACAAAAAGTCAACTACTCGACAAATTTAAATTGTACAGGAATAAAATTAGCAATTTATTAAGAATTTCCAAAAAGTCATACTACATCTCCTTCTTTAACAAAAAGCTCAACAATACAAAAAATACATGGAAAGGAATAAAAGAAATTATTAACTTCAAACCCTCTACACCAATTAAATTTTAAACTCTCAAGTCTAATGGTAACACTATTTCAGGCAGTATGGCTGTTGCTAACATTTTTAACAAATACTATGAAACAATACAACACCCACCCAAAAGTAAAATGATTTCTTCTAAAAATATATTTTCTGACTATTTAAAAAATGCTAATTCTAATTCTTTCTTTCTTAATCCAGTGACTAAAAATTAGGTGTCTGATTTAATAAAAAGTAGTTTACAAAATGGTAAAAGTTTAGGACCAAATAGTATCCCTACACACCTTCTTAAAACTTAGTTCTCGTGTTTTTTGCAAGCCTTTCTGTACCGTATTAAATAATTATTTTATTAAAGATCTTTTTCCAAATGTTTTTAAAATAGCTAAAGTTATTCCTATCCATAAAGAGGGTTCTCTAATGGACCACAAAAATTATCGACCAATTTCTCTTCTATCTAACATTAATAAAATATTTGAAAAAGCCATGTACAACAGGCCTTACAGCTTTCTTGGCAAAAATCAATGTCTTTACCAACATCAGTATGGATTTCGTAACAAACACTCCACAACTCATGCACTTATTTAAATAACTGAAACTATTAGAAATGCTCTTGACAATAAACTTTTTGCATGTAGAGTGTTTCTTGACTTAGAGAAAGCCTTTGATTCTGTTGACCACTCCATCCTCTTAAGTAAATTAGAACACTACGGTGTTCGAGGTATTACTCTGCAATGGTTTTCATCATATCTTTTTAATAGATCGCAATTTGTCTCCATCAATGATGCCAAATCTTTTACAATAAAATGCTCCACGCGTGTACCTCAAGGTTCTGTATTTTGACCATTGCTTTTCCTTATTTTTATAAATGATCTTAATATCTCTCTAAAATTTTCAACAGCTTACCATTTTGCTAACGACACCAACTTACTCATAACAAACAAATCATTAAAAAAAAATTAACAAACATATTAATCATGATTTATCTAACCTTCTTCAATGGCTGCGCTCTAACAAACTAAGTCTTAATACCAACAAAACTGAACTCATTATTTTCAAATTAAATCAATCTAAAATGTAAAAAAACCTAAACTTTAGACTAAGTGGACAAAATATCTGGTAGTTTCATTAAAATATCTTGGAACCCAAATTGACTCAAATCTATCTTTTTCCTCTCATCTTAAAAACTTAGCAGTAAAATCTTAGATCAAATGGGATGCTAGCCAAAATTCGCCACTATGTCAATTATGAAACTCTATTTAATATATACCATGCAATTTTTGGATCACATCTTAGATACGCTTGTCAGGTTTGGGGACAATGCAAGTTTAATGCTTTTTTAAGGTTATGTAATCTACAAAACAAAGCTTTAAAAATAATATTCTTTCAACAGTGTTGTTATAACTCTGACATCCTTTACTTTCTATCAAAAATACTCAAATTATGTGATCTTGTTTATTTATTAAATTGTCTATTAGTCTGGAATCATAAACAAGTAAACCTCCATCATTCTCCAATTTTTTTACCACTAAAAAAAGTTCTCGTTACTACCTTCGATCTTTGAGTAACTTTAAATTATCTATCCCCAATCGCTGTTTGGTAAAATACGGTAATAATTGTTAATATTATTATTATTGTTGTTATAATTATTATTAATTTTATTGTTATCATTGCTATTATTATTATTGCTATTTTTGTTGTTGTTGTTATTATAATTACTAATATAATCATTATTATTGTCATTATTATATTTAATAGTATTATTGATATTATTATAATCATCTTCATTTAATTTACATTATTATTATTATATGATTGCTATTATTATTTAATTGGTTCTTACCTTAGATTAGTACTCGTACTATTAGTAAACAACCATGAAATGTATATATATATATATATATATATATATATATATATATATATATATATATATATATATATATATATATATACATATATATATATATATATATATATATATATATATATATATATATATATACATACATATATATATATATATATATATATATATATATATATATATATATATATATATATATATATATATACATACATATATATATATATATATATATATATATATATATATATATATATATATATATATATATATATATATATATACATACATACATATATATATATATATATATATATATATATGTATATATATATATATATATATATATATATATATATATATATATATATATATCTTTGCTTTTGAATAATAGTTTTAATTTGGATATATTTTTTTTAAACTCATTGATTTTTTCAAACTCAAGGCTTTGCAATGACATCGCAAATGGTGACGCTTTTTTCAAATCGTTGAAAATATCTTTTTAAAAAGTAAAAAAGAAAAGAAAACATTTATAAATTAAAATAAAAATGAAATCAACAAAAAAGAAGAATAAATAAATCGTTTAAAGGAAGAAAAGAAAAAGAAATGTTTGAAAGAAAATAAGTGAAAAAGTAACGAAAATAGAAGTTAAAAAAAAAAAAGTTAATGAATGAAATAAAAACAATGGCAAAGAATTAAAAAAAAACCATTTAAAAAGCGGAACCTCAATCGGCCAAGATTTTTATTTTTTCATACATTTTTTTAGTTTTCTTTCATACATTTCTTAGTATTATTTATTTTTCTTCAATTTTTTAGCGGTTATAGTTTTACTTTTTTTTTAGTAGTATTTAAATTTTTTATACAATTATATATTATTTGTTTTTATTTTCATTTTAGCTATTTATTATATATGTTTAATTCTAACGTGTATTATAATTATTTTTTTTAATTTTAAGTTTTTTTTGTTGTTGTTGTTTGTTTTACTTATTTTGCATAGTTTTTGTTTTGTTTCGTGATGTTTGTTATAACTTGTTTTGTTTTGATTTCCTCAGTGTTTTTCTGTTTATACTTTATTTATTTATTTGGTCATAATATTTGCAATATATTTTGATTATTATATTTTAACAACTATGATTATATTAATATATTTACTAAATCTTGATAATTTTTTTAGCAGTAGTCGTTTTTATGTCATCGTTAGTTGTTACGTTTTGTCTGTTTGTACTGTATTACTGTTTGTACTGTAGCTTTGTATGTAAAAATGATTGCTGTATGGAAAGTAATACCGATTTATTTAAATTATTACAATTACTTTATTATTATTGTTATTATTATTATTACTACTATTAATATTATCATTACTAAGATTAATTGTATATATATAATTTTTTTTTAGGTATTTACTTGAGATTAGTATTTCAATACTATTTGTAAATAGCCTTGAAAATTTATTTTCAGAATATATGATTGATTGATTGATTGATTGATATTTTATTTTTTTATATTGTAATTTTTTAATTTACTTTTTCAAAGGAAAAGATATAGCGTATAAATTTTATTGCAAATTATATGTTGTACAAATTTATTTTTATATATTTGTTTACTACTTTTTTCCAACGAGTTTGTTATTTCACTTTTTTCTTTACGAATTATTTAATTATTTTAAATGAAATTTAAATTATATTCTTAAAAATGTTTAAAATTTTTGATATTTTCATAGCTTCAAAGTTAATTTAATTAATTTTTTTTTTTCTTATCCTCTTTTTTTTTGTCTTGTAACTTTTTGCTTCTTTTCAAAAAAAACATTAACTCAAAATTGTGTTTTGTATCTTTTCAAAAAAAAATCTTACTTTATGTATATGGTAACAATTACATATGACTTACAGGTATAGTGCCCTTAAATAGACAGTGCCCTTAAAAGGACAAAAAAACTATATTGCTGATAACTATTGTTAACCAAAATCAAAAAAAATGTTTGAATATTCCAAAATATAAACAAGCCAACTTAACTTTTAGAAAAAAGTTAAGTTATAGTGCAGAAATTCAAAAAAAATTCTAATTTTGTCTCAGAAGATAATCATAAAAGCCTCCCTATTAATTGTTTGATGTTGACTAAACAAATTTTCTTTTGCATATGCATAATGTTCATGAAGCGCCTTGTTGATTTGTTCAAGAAGCTGTGTTATCCTAATAGTGTCTGGTGGTGATATATATAAATGTATTTCTTTCTCTCTAAGAAATCAAAGTAAGGTATAATTTAAGCGAGAGCTCAGTACAACAACAGGGCGAAGTATGTCTTTTTCGATTGTCTACCAAATAATCTATAAAATGCAAGTTATTTGAGATCTTGCGATCCATTCTCTGTTGTCAAAATCAATAAGTTTGGAATACTTCAAACAGCAACTAGTGGAGTCATCTGGCTAGTAATTCTTTGAATACCAAATATTACATGACAAATGCATTTTTCACCTGAATAATATATTAAGCAGTGTAAATGTGTCTAAAATTATATGTGTTGTCGTAAAATATATTTATTTTCAAATTTACAATTTTTTGACTATATCTTTATATATGGAAAATAAAATTTATGAAATAGGTTTCAATATCTAGTACTATATAGCATAGAATAATAATTTAAAGTTTAAAACTGCTTTAAGTATAATGTACCAGATAATGACAACATTGGATTTATTGTAACACATTCACGATTATGCCGAAACATTTTTTGACAGCGTTCACCACGCCCACCATATAATAATCTGCTAGGTGAACCATTAACGCCATAGCTAACAAACTGTGGTGTTTCATCATGATTGAAGATCCGAGATAAGTCAATTTGACTGGTCCAATGATCAGATACTTTTTGATTTTCTTCAACCATGATGCCACAAATCACCAACTCTTTTGTAAGATTATCTAAAAAATAGTGAACACTCTTTAAAATTTTCCTTTAAAAACTAAAATGGAACATGATTCTGTTTTTAAATCGATATTAGCATTTCTGATTTATTTTAATGAAATTATTTAATCTAGTTCCAAATCTCAGTAAAAACATGCTATTTACATTTTGTGATATTCAAATTTGTTTTTACCTAAATGAGAGCATTTCACAAGGACTCTTTTCATAGTGATGATTCCTTGTCTTTTTAAGGAAACATTGGCATGTTTTAGAAATAAAAATATAATAAATATAAAACTAACTTTTTAATGCTGTAGTAAAGAATTATATTTGTCAAGAATTACATTTACACAGATAATAAATAACAGTTTTCAAGATCAAATTTTATTTGGGGTTTAGATATTGAAAAGTACAATACAGTATTATATATAAGGGATTTATATAATAGAACACTGTATTTATTTTTGATGTTTTTTTTTCTGTAAATTTGTTTTAAACTGACATGGGCACAGAAACTTTCAATTTCTATATTTAATAATACAATAGAAAATTTTTACCTTTTTTTCAAAAGAGTTTACCTTCCACTTGCAATCAAAGCAATAAATTTTCTTCCTCCTTTCATCTTTTGTTGGCATGATCTCGAATTTTTAACACATCCATAATAAGATTTGTTAATTTTTTTCTGTTCATACCTTGGTAAGCTTGATTTTTACAGCCCACATACTCAACAATAATATCTTCTTCTTCAGTGGTTAGTATCATTACATTGTTTTTTTTCATTTCCTGTAAGAACTAGATTATCTAATCGCTTATCAATCACAATTTTGCTTTTTATTAATGGAAACTAACCTGTTGATAATGCAGAATATCCTCGTTTTCCATTAATTTCCACCACTGTACAGCTTTGTTTATTTGTTTGTTTGTTTATTTGTTTGTTTCTTTGTTTATTTGTTTGTTTATTTGTTTGTTTGTTTCATCTCGGTTAAATTGCTTTTATAGCTGCTTCAGATTTATTTCTTGGCTTTTTAATTACAGAGTTTGCATTCGCTGCTACTTTTAAGCTAAATTTTGGTTTCATTTTTATTTATATCTATAATAACAAACATTTTAAACTGTTACAACAATTACTGTACAATTAGAGTTATGTAAAAACACAAAACAGCAATTTAGTTATTTTTAAATCTTTTTTTGAAGTTGCAAAATGAGAAGCTGTTAAAAGAAATTAAACTGTTATAAAAAGTACTGCTATCTTTCAAAACAAACTTTAAGATATAAAGGAAAGAAAAAAATTATAATTAAAATAACTTCCAAAAATGAGGTTTTTAATGCTTATTACGAAATTATTTGAATAAAATTTCATGATTTTTCTTATTATTTTAAAAATCATTAAATAATACCAAATTTCTTTCTATTATAAGATACCTATACTAGGCAGATAATAACATGCAAAATACCTCCCTTATTAATAATAATAATACCGTGTATCTCACTAATTGCATCTCTTCAATTAAAAAATATCTCACTAATTGAGTTAATCGTTAAGGAGATATCAACAATAAAAAGATTGTCTTTTCAAGGGTACCCTGCCCAAAATAGACAAATTTCAAGTACAAATAAAATATTTAAAAAAATTACTTTTTTCAACCGTCAGGAAGAAATTATATAGATTTAAACAAAATAATTAAAAAAAAACTACTAAAAAAAAATAGGCTTTCCAAAATAATTAAAACCAATTTAAATTTGTCGTCTTTTTAAGGGCTCTATATCTGTACGTATTTATCTTTTACGGAATCAATTCTCTGGGCTTGGAGATAAATTGTGTCTTCTTCGTAACGTCATCAGTATTTATATTGTTAACTGTATTTATACATTTATGCGGCAAAACATAAAAGCGAAAAAAAAATCCAGATTAAGAACAAAAGCTTCAAACAAAATGTTGAAAAAAATAAGACTTCAGGCTATAGCGAATATAGTGGCAGAATAAGTAATTTAAACCATTTCAACTAAGAGCAGATATTAGGCGTGGTCTCGGAGTTTAACTTAACTGATGCTCTTAGTAGAGTGTCTGACATTTGGTTAAAAATGGATGATAAATCTTCTAAAATTGCAGCATGTGAACTTCGCAATCTTTGCAATGTTAATAGATTCACAAGACATAATCGTGTAAAAAAATATTGTACTTTGCCTGAAAATTGACCCATCAGAAAGCAAAGAAGAAGTGAAACTAGTGGTTGAAAAATGTATAGCCTTTCAATCAATTGATCCAAGTCCAATAAAATGTCCAAACAATAAAATAAAAAAGAATATGGCAACGATTGGTATGGGCATAAATTATTATGAGTCGCAGCACAATCTTACCCTAATCGACTATGGATCTACATGGTATGCAATATGGCGCCATCTTAAACATCAAACCAGTGCATGTGTTGTTTAAGAGCTAAAAGCAATATTTTTCATACGAAGAAAAAATTCTGACAATGATACAGATTTGACGGACAATGATACATTCCAACGCACTTCGATACATTCTAACGAACTTCAATACATTCTAACGCACTTCGTTTTCTCAATTTATGAATAAGTGGAACGTTAAACTTCGCTTCAGGTGTGTCTACGTGCCATCAGAAAACGGTATTGCAGAGCAATGTTATCAAACTGTTGAAAGTGAGTTCCGTGCAGCATACTTGAGGCAAATTGTTGGTACAACGTCAGTCTAATAGATAGATGTAAATCTTCTTCTGCACCTACAAACAAATTATATCAATACAAAATGAAAGTGAGAGAAATTGACTACGATAAGGGTTCGAATGATTGATGTAAGGAGATAACTAATAAATTCAAATTTGTGGACAAGGTTTGGGTAAAGCCGAGGGGGTTTCACCCAAATCTTCAGCCCAAGTTTGAATAATGGATGCGAATCTCAATATAAGTTTGGAAATATTAAAGGGATAATTTCAGAGCAAACGGAAGAAGTGGGCAAAACGTACCGGCACATACGTACACTAAAAAATGGCATTTCCGATTATGCGAATTAGTACGCGAGAAAGAAAGGCATTTGAACGTTAAAGCCCGTAAAGTAAAGTGGTCATGATGAATTAGGGGGAGCTTAATAAACAAAGTTAAAGTTTTTAAAGAAAGTGATTTGCTATAAGAAGTCATTTTCGATAGAAAGTTTCAAGTAAAATTGCTACGGCAAATAATTAGGATAGCATAACTATTGTATTATATAAAAAACGTAATGTAAATTTCTCAGGAATTTAGTTTGTATATAAATTGTGAAATTTCACTATAAGATATAAAAGTTTTACGTATAATTGACAACGTTTTTTTTTTAAAAAAAAAAAATTACAACCCTAAAACTTTTAAAGTTTTGGGGTTGTAGTTTACCAAAGCAATTGCGCTGTCTCTTTATCAAACATCTCAAACAAGATGGAGTGTAGACATAGAGACTATGAGGCTGTTGTTAAAACGACCAAATAAAAAAAAGAAATCATCTTTAAGCTTTTCAATTTCTTCAAGAATTTTAAGAGAATAATAGAATTTAGTTGAAAAAAGTGGATTCTATTATTTGAACTTATTGCCTTTAGCTCTTTTTATTTGAACTTATTGCCTTTAGCTCTTTCTAGTTCAAAGCTCTCCTTACTTTTGACTAGACAATTTTTTTAAAGAAACACGCTATTCCAACAGATAAGAATTAGGATGGGTATAGCTCAAAAGACAACGGATATGTTTACATTCATTTGGTGGTTTTCATCGTTCATTCATTTGGTGGTCTTTGTTGGTGATTAAAAACTCTTAAACAGAAAGAAAAATGCAAAGTGCTGGCAAATCTGTAGGTAAATGGCTTAAAAAAAAAGAAGTTGATTGAAGAAATCTGTCATTTAGATGTTCTCAAGCGATCAAGTAATTTTTGGAAGTCTGCCAGAAAGGTCTTTAATCAATATTTTCTTTTAGAAAAGACATCACGATGATAAACAGTAAAATTCATATTCTGATTCAGACGCCCTCGCCTTTAAACTTCACGAACTGCTAACCAATAAAACTAAATTAAAAAGAGAATCATGTTTTTAACTATAATTCTTAATGAAACTGTGAACTGGAGTAATTAAAAAAGTGGAAATAAAAATATCTAAAATTATTGGAATTATGTATAAATCAAAGCATCTTCTTAATACAACTTGTTTAAAAAATATTTCTCACAGCTGCAACATAAATATTTAGTTCTTTTCTATTCACAGCTACAACATAAAAAGTAACATAATCTGGTACTCAACAAAGTTAAATGCAATTTACAAAAAATAAAAGCATGCATTTCGCTTAATATTAAACGTAAACAATAGGGCCAAACCTCTACTAAGATAACTTGGAGTGCTTAATGTCTTCTTAAATTACTAAATATGTTTAACATACTAATTTTTATGCATAAATTAAAGAATCTTATACTACCAAACACTATCCAATAATTTATTTCTATCACAAATACCAAGATAAGTACTCAAAAAAACTTTTTTTTGAAACTTTATTAAAACTTTGTCTTAAAACTTTATTAAAACTTTGTCTTAAAACTTTATTAAAACAGGTTTCTCAATATCTTGACAAGAACCACAGTTGTGAAATTCGAATCTAACAAGTAATATAAAGAAATTTTATTAAGTATTTTTCTTCAACATGTATGGATTTCAATGTTATTACATTGACGTAAAAAAACAAAAAAATAATATTTAAAAAATAAAAAACTGATAAAAAAGTTTATGTATGTGTATTATATTATATACAAGATTGTATCTAAACTTGTAACTACAAGGCAGGATGATAAGGCCATGTCTTCTGCCAGCTCCAGTCGGAATTTTTCAAAAGTTTAAATTTTATGTTGTACAATATTGTAAAGCGAAATAAACAAAATAATTAAAGTTAATAAATGTTACATCTCTTTTTTATTTATATAAATATTTCATCGTTGCTGCTTAAGCTAGCTATCATCCTTTCCTTTAATCAAAACTCATTTTTGCTTTACTTTTTGTGCTACTAAATTGCATTCTTTTATTGTATCCTTCAAGCTCTAAAAACTTTTAATCATTTAGCTTCATTTCTTGCACATCAACACTATGAGATGGGAACTCTCTCCCATCTTCATGTTTTCCCAACTCAAACAGCTTACAGTACTGAAGTCTTCTTTCAACTATTTTTTTGCTCTTTAACAATATTCTTTGTTAACTCCCAAATTAAATAGGAACTATTTGCAGCCATTTTCGGAAGTGAACTAATTAAAAAAAAGAGATTTGCAAAAAATTGCAATGATTTGAGCTCAAGTACAAAAATATCCAAAAAAAATTCCGCCCCTCAACCCAAATATGAGGACGATGAGTACTTTTTAACATGCTTTTTTATAAAATTTAAATTTATTGATAGATTTTAAGTTTTATTTAACTATCTTGTGTTAAAAGTTATGTTTAATAGTTACCAAACTTTACATGTTCATGAACCTTAAATGTTTATAAAATAAAGCTTAAAACGTATCAATGAATTTAAAATTAGTACAATTTGCTAACTTTTTTTTACCATAATATTATGCTAAATTTAAATAAAGTATACTTTTTAATAAAAAGTATAGTTTATTTGGAATAGGGGGCAAATTCTAAGGGGTAATTTTGATTTTAAGCTCCACTCTCGGCAACTTTTTGCAAATCATTTGCATTTGAAACTTTGTTAAATAGTATTTTAAAAGACTTTAGTTCTGGAGTTTGCACAATGTCTGGAAGTGTCAGAAAAAATCTGCCAAGGCAGGTCTGTTGATTGTGTATAAGGTAAAGACAAAAAAACAATTTTTTGGTCTGTAGTAGAAACCAATAAACATTTCGGTCTGTAGAGAAACCAATAAACATTTTTTGGTCTGTAGTAGAAATCAATGAACATTTTGGTCTGTAGAAGAAATCAATGAACATTTTAATACTGATTAAGAAAATCACAATTATTTCGTTAAATTCAATAAAGGTTCCCAAACCAAAATACCCGATGACACGGGTTATGAGTGCCACATATTAACAAAAATATCTTTCCAAAAATATATCCAGTTGGATCTTAAAAGAAGCAAAATTTCATAGAAAGTTTATAAAAAATAAAACTTTCAAATAAGATTTAGTTTTTAAAAATTTATTATAAAAAAAAACTAACATTTTTCAACATAAATTAAAAAAAAAGAAGCATTTTTTAAGACTTTTTTTTAGCAATACCTTCTTTAAAAAGGTTTCATTTGGAAATTTTTGTTGTTTGTGAAATCTCTTTAAAATTTCACTTTTTTTGAGGTTAAACATGATATACTTTAGGAGAAAAATGTTTTTGGCACCCACCATACCATTGGCTGCAGATTTTTTTTTTTTAGAACAAGTTCTATTAATATTTTTAAAATAAAAATTCATTATTTTGACAAAATTTAAAATTAAAAAATACAAAATTTTGCATAATATTTTTTAGTCATAACCCTATATTTAAGTGATTGTATTTTTAGTTTTATATAACTGATGCAAAAAATTTTTATCATAATATTTTCCGGTTTAAATTATACTACGGTTAGTTTCAATTTGGTTTGTTTACTTACGAAAACTTACCGGACCTTAGCTATTGTGAATTTATTTATTTTTTACATAAATATGTATGATTTTAATGTGAATGGAAAAACATTATTACATTATTTATGTAAGTTATTTAGTTGGTTATAGCAGATATAAATATTAATAGACTATTCATGATTCAAATGCAGTTTTTTTTTTTTTTTTTTGCTGAAGATTATTGACTACAGCTATGGTGAAGCATGTTGACAGAAAACTAAAAACATTTTTTTCATATCATTACTTTAAGACACAATGGTATCGTTAAATGGGGCATATTCGTATCTTTTCATTGTTTTATTTATGTTTAATTTTTATGATTTTTTTATTTATAATTTTAAACAATATACAAAATCTATTTTTTATTACTAAAATAAGGCTGTTTTACACTAGTTTATGAAAGCTACTTATTTTAAGCGTTTATATATTTACTTTTTATAGTTTTTGTCAATGATAATTTTAATACAGTTTCAAATTTTTATGTCTCTATAAGATATCCTCTTCTTTAACTGTAAAATTGTAGAAAAAAATATCAACTACAAGCTCAAGAGAGTCTGGCTCAACTTAAGGATCGAAATCAAGATGAAGAAAAAGAAAAAATTAAAATTTTATCACGTCAAACAAATGAAATGAGAAGGTTTATTTTTAATATATTACAAATTTTTCTCAAAATCTCATTGTGTTAACAGATTTTTTCAAGTCATTAAAAATGCTGCCTGTATTAGTATTTTTATATCTTAATTATTATTGCCATTACCATTATTTTAATGCTTGTATTATGTGAACAAAATTAATTACAAAAAAGCTACTATTCTTGGAAAAAAGATAACCTGGCAATGCTTCAAACTATTTACTTTTATTATCTTAATTAGATCTTAAAGTTCCAGTGCCTAGGAAGGGTTTCAAAAGCATCTTCTAATTAGACATTAGATGTGCAACTTTATCATTGTCATTTTTAAAATGATGGTATAAAATATAACCAATGATTTCAGTATCAGTAGCTGGTTAGTAGATGTTACTACATTACAATCTAAATCAATGAAAGATTCTGCCCTTCTTGAACAACACTAGTAGCTAATTCTGGCAAATTGTCAAGCTCTTATGTCGAAGGAATAGATCAATGTCAGCTTTTGCCATCTGCTAGTTTGATTTGCTGATGCTAAATGTTTTAAGACATTTACTAATAGTTTCCTGACAACATTCCAAGAAGAAACAAGATCTTATGTTGCTTTAAGCATTAGAGATTTTTGGCAGGTGTTCATTTTTGACAGCCTTGATAAATAGACACACAATTTTTTGATGGTAAAGGGTCATCCATAATTTATGTCAGGCTTTAGGAAGGAAGTTGGTAGTAGTTTTAAGCTTTAAAGCTCATTATGTCTTGATCCTTGGGTTGAAGGGCAGATGTGTTATGCAGGAGAAATATCAAGTTAATGTTGCTTATAACTTAAGCATAAACTTATTGCTTAAGCATCCATAAATTATGTCACACAATTTTTGACAATTTTGGACTAATATGTATGCTAAAGATATTTAAATTCTTTAATTTTTTACAATATCATTATAATCACAGAGCGGTGGATGATTACACTTGTATATATAAAGGTGCAGGTTCAACTCCCTCTTAAGTGATTGGAATTAAATTTTGTTGTTTTGCTTTTAAATAGTTTTATATGTTTTAACTGTTATTGTTGTTTAATTATAATTATATTTATTATTTATATTTTTTATAGTTTCAAAGAATGATAATCTATGTGTACATAAATTGACTGATATGGCCATAGTCCCAGTGTAGTTATATATAAACTGACTAATATAGGTATAGGAGAAATTCTTTTTTGAACTTCTATAATTTAATATAAAGTTGTATAAATAAACAGTGACTAAACGTATTTAGGCTAGGCGTTCTTTTAATCAACAGTTTTTCTAGATTTGAAACTTAAAAAATCACAAAATTGAATCCTCCTTATAACAAATCATCACAAATTGCTAACCCCTCCCTCCTATTGTGTGATGTAGTTTGTGGATGACACTACTATCATCAACCAGGCATGCTACATTCCTGTTCTGACGAAATGGATATGTTTTTATACCCATTCTGTAAAAAGGTTTTGAAGCCATGAAGAAAAAGTTGAAGATGAAGCCATATTCAAAAAGGTGGTGGCTCTGTTGGCATATAGGGTTACCTATCAGGCTCAGGCGATTGCTGCCATAAAATATATAAAAGAAAATTAAACCAGCATGGGTATTGTGATATATTGGAAAATGCGCATTTCCAGTTCCATAAATTTTATATGCAAGTAAAAAAATTTTGGAGCTTGATGGATTATCAACAAACAAAATAGAAAATTTAGTCACAAAATGTTTAAAAAAAAAAACTGACTAAACTTTAGTTTGAAATACCAATCAAGATGATTGAAAACCTTATTGATTCTTTCACCATACTATTTCCAGGTTTTTGACCTTTCACCTTACTATTCCCAGGCTTTTGATATTTCACCATACTATTCCCAGGTTTTCAATCTTTCACCATACTTTTCTCATGTTTTCAATCTTTAACCATACTGATCCCAGGTTTTGGATCTTTCACGATACTAATTCCAGGTTTTCGATCTTTTTACCATACTATTCCTAGGTTTTCGATCTTTTACCATACTGTTACCAGCAACAATGAACAAGTACAATTTATAGTTACATAAAATAAGTAGAATTCATAGTTACATGAAAAAAATTCTAATCTTAAATGACACAATATTCTGGAATTTTAAAATTATTAAACTAAGATATTATATTGCTTTAAAATTATTTTTTATGTCCGAATTATATTAATTTAATTTTTATGGGAGTAATCTAAATTAAACTTTTATTTTTTAATAACAATTAGTTTACTACAATAACAATAAGTTTACTACAATAACAATGACTTTAAATTAAGTTTGTTGTAAACATTTAAATAAATATAGTTATTATATATACATAATTTAATTTTTTATATAATATATAAATATAAAATGTTTCTAGATATTTTATAGATATTACAGATATAAGATATTTCCAGATAAAAAGATAAAACTATTTAGATGTTGATTTAGATTGAAATATTTAGATGTTGATGAAATAAACTTTATGATCTTAAAATAAATAATTGTAATGTAAAAAAGTGTTGATTGATAAAAAAATCTAAGTTTAATTTTTTTGAGATCTTGCAAAAAATTAAGAATTTTCATCACAATTAGAATATAGAATAGAATATAGTTATATCTATAAATTTTATAATATAGTTACAGGCCTCAGCAGGAAGAAATGAGTGTGAGAGCGGCAAAAAGCTCTCCAAAAAAGAACATGGCAAGCTATGAGAGCTGCTCCTCTAAACAGCTACTTAGGAGAGCATTTAGTTTTTGCAAGAGCTATCTGTTTATTCATTAAAAAAAAACAGGTTGTTAATTTCAAAATTTTGGTTTTGTATTAGTTACAAGCCCAAGGCGGGACAAATTGTTTTTTTTTAATGTCCGTTGATGTTTGTATCTTTATTTAATGATGAATGTCTAATTTAAGAGATATATGTCATTTAAGGAAGTTTTATTTTCAAATAATTTTTGTTCTAGTTAATAAGTTATTATTAACTAGAACAAAAATTATTTGCAAAGTGCATGCAAATTAATGGTAATTAATATTTAATGACTTAATGATTGTAAATTGTTATCCATTGATACTAAATAATGAATTTTTCTAAGTTTTGTTTGCTAAATTTATTTACAAATAAATAAAAATAAAAGGAGCTAAAAATAAAATAAAATGTTTTGAGATTTTTTGTTTAAAACTTTTAAAAATAATACTATATTAAGTTTTTAATAATAAGTTAATAAAAATGCATTGTTAAATGTACAATTAAAAAAAAAAAAAACTATAATAAACTTATTAATTCTATATATTCTATTAGATTGTATATATTTCAGCAAAACTTAAATATTCAGCAAATAAATATTACTTCACTTTAAGGAAAAATCATGTTTAAGCATGATTTCTTTTGAGGTAATTGCAAATGCATTCACTTTAAGTAAAATTTTTCATGCTTTTGTTAACGCATGCAAATACCATGTTAAAATATTATTAGTATCTTTCATAGCATACCACAGTGGGTCAAAATGCCCATTTTTGTGCCAAAATTTTTATGAAATTGATTTAAATAACATACTTTGAGCTTCTTAATATATTTGTGACTAAATAGAAAAAAAAATTTATTGTTTTTTTTTAATAATTAAAAATACAGCAAAAAAATAAAAAAAATATGCAGTTTTTCAATTCAAACAAAATCCACAGAATAAACATAAAAAAATTACAGTATCATTTTTTTGATAGGCATACAATTTTATGAAAAAATACTTTCTTGTCTTATCAACTCATTTAACTAATACAACTTTAAGGCAGCCATCAATGTCTGCATATATTTAAATGAAGTATTTACAAATTTACAATGTTATCTCCTGCTAATAACAACTCCAAAACCTCAACAGGAAAGTCTTTCTTTTTTGAAGTGCAGGTTTGCCTCAATGATGCTATGACAGGATCAGATGAGCATAGAAATCTTTTCAAAATGTCCTCATTTGCCATATATCTTGAAGCTTTTCGAGCATGACGTTCACGAAACCGTTTAAAATATTTGTTGGTTGACTCCTGTGCTTCTTCACTCATCATACCAATTGGAAGTGACATTCTATTAATTATTGCTGGGCCGTGGATCAGCAGTTTGTGGAGGCTTTGTCGAATGTAGTACCATGGGTACAGCTTCACAAACAACTTTGCAGTTTTTGTACATATCACGGTAAACTTTTCAGTATTTATTTCATAGCCACTTGATATGGTTGACAAAATAATGTGCAATTTTAAAATTTGTGCAAAATAATGTGCAATTTTAAATATAACACCTGTTATATTTGCAAAAGAAATGACATCAGTAAATGCTCTTCGAGAAGTGTTGCCATCATTAGATGTACCAGATCCTCCAAACTTTGGTTGATCAACAACAAGGCCCATCTGATGAAGAAAAGCTTTTTGAATGTGAGACTTTGTGTCAGCAACTTTTGCTTTGTCTTCTGCTGTTCTTGCTTGCCTCTTTTTGATGGGCAATTTGTAACCAATATGCAGAAAACATTCAAAACATCTAATCCAGCAATGCAGTGTAGATAAACCATACTGCAAGCCTTTTGCCTGGTAATTTCTTACTATGCTGGCATCAATGTTGTTCATCTCTTTTGGTGAGCATCCACAGATAGAACAACACTGACTTGAGTTAGTGGCCTCAGATAAAGCTGTGTGTACTTTTCCATCAATCATTGTTATTTCAATCACATGCTTTACTTGAAGTTCTTTGCCATTGTTTAATATAATTTTTGTGCAATTTTAATTCCTAATTTCTTCTTTTAGTTGAGCTTCTTCAGAGATTAATACTTGTTTAGACTCATTTTCAAACTGAAAACGAAATGGGCGACAAAACAGAGTTGATGATGGTTTTGGGTTTCGCCACAAAGTTGTCTTTTTTCCACCAGCAAATGTGCTCAAGTCAAGTGGTACAATGCATGTTAAAAACAAAGACTCTTCTATTTTTATATTACGGATACTACTTTCAGACACTGTTTGCTTATAGAGACTTTGTCCTGTTGAGCCATCAAATCCTGCTTTGTGTCTTAATGTAGCAAATATGGTTGTATCACTAGCAACTGTTTCAATAACTTCATTCTGTACTTGACATAGTCTTTGCGCAGTGTGGTCTACCAAGCTCTGCATTGAGATTTTAGCAAAATATTTATTTCATTTGGATAGCAAGATAATTTTGCTGCCTTTATTATGTGATATGAAGGATAAAGTTCACAGTTTTTTCTCATAGCAACATTTCGATGTAGTTGATAGCCATCTTTGGTCATATTTGTATCTAAAAGTAAAGCTAGAGCCTCATTGCCAGATAGTTGTTGAGATACTTTTTTACTACTGTCAAAAATATTCTTTACTGCATGTAACTCATCAAGTTTATTTTCTTTTTTAAGAGTAACTTTTGCCGCAAAAAGTAGTTCATTGGATGAATGGTTGTAGAGAGTTGGTACGCCTGTACTTTGTTCGAAGTGAACAATCATCAAAATTCTCAATTGAAGGCCTGCCACGTGTATCTTGTTTCACAGGAACATGAGTAAAAACATCAATCTCTGACTGTAGCCACTCTTTGTGTTTTTTTTCAAAACAAATACGGTTACCTTTTAAGTCCTGCTATTTTTTTCTCATGTGAATTAGCATTGTTTCCAGCTTAGGGTTAGGATTTACCAAATTCATGCCATTGATAACATCCTTTAAAACACCATGGTCAGAGGTTTGTAATTTATTTTCTAGTATGTAGGTATATATATCAATGTATTTCATTTTATCCTATAAATTCAAAAGTATACTCATTAGAAATCATTTTATCCTATAAATTCAAAAATATACTCATTAGAAATCATTTAAATGAAAGTATATTAGGTTTAAAGATGAAGTGTTTTATTTTAATTAAAAAAACCAAGTGATTAATTAAAAATTAATTTATTAAAAATCCTGTGATTTATTTGTCGCGGACAAAATTTTTGTTATACCTTGCTATTTATAAGTTAATTTGTAGACAAGTTGGTACTTTGTTGAAGCTAATACTAACTTTAAATTATAATATGTATAGTAAGTAAGGATTTTAATGCATTTTCAGACTGGAGGATAATGGAGGATTTTTTAGTTAAATAAAGTAAGTAAAAATTTACACTAAAATAACCTGTAAAAACATATCATCTTAAAAATAAAATAAAATTTCTAACTTACAAGAAAAAAATGTGCAGCGAAGTTATTTGGTTTTAAAAAAGATCAATCTATCAATGTATAAAAAAATTATAGCGCAAATAATTTAAATTAAAAAGTAGTTTACAGTTTCTGTGTACACATTTATTTTATTTATTTTCATTTATAAACTTACAAATCTAAATAAAAAATTTAACTTTAACAAGCCGTAAAAAATTTAATATAAAAGCTAGTGGCTAAAAAATATCATTTTTTAAAAGCTTGATAAGTATGGAGAACTACTATTACCAATAAACCTACGTTGAACATAATTTGTTTTTTTTAATTTTGGCACACCTTGACCCACTGTGCATACTTAGTTATTTTACTTAATAATAACGGTATTAAATAAATTGATCATGTTTTAGCATTGTTTCTTTTAAAGTCTTTAAAATGTGTTTTAAATTTTAGTAATTGTTTTAAAGAACTATCAATAGCATAATTATTTGGAAAAAAAGTTGCTGAAGTAATGCGTGTGTTTTAAAAAATTTTAAACAAACGCCAACATATGCAAAAATATAAATAAAAATAAAAATGTGACATTCATTTTTCTGTCTTTTTTTTAACAAAAGTTTGCCCTATTGTAGAATTGTCGTGCCATATCAAGCATATGTTACGTTAATATTACAAGGATACATAACAATTTTTTGCGTCATAAAAAAATTCTTTAGATGAGTGTTGTTTTTACTGCTTATAAAAAAAGTCTTATATTTTCTCATTGTAATAGAATGCAGGCATTTTAAGAATTATTATGAATAATTATAAAAATGACTGCGTTTTTTATTTTAGTGACAACTAAAATTATACTTTTGAGAGAATTTTACTTTAGCGAGAGCCACAAATGGCTCCCGTAAATTGTTTTAGGGGAGTTAAGAGCTAAAGCTTGAGGCCTGTAGTTCTATAAATGTATGATAACAATGCATTTATATAAAGAATTTTTTCTGAAGCAATATCAGTAATACTTTTATATAAAAAGAATTTAGTTTGAGCACCATGACATAAAACTTGCCAGTCTCTTCTACAGTGCTTTATGATTTTTTTTTTTTTTCAATACTATGACCTCTAACACATCCCATCCCATCTTTTCTTTTATCTTTCAATGTTTTCCTACTTCTTCATTTTCTTTTATCTTTCTATGTTTTCTTCATTTACACTTTGAAATCAACTGAAAACTAACTGAAGAAATGTTTCTTTATATTTTTCATATATCTTATATCTTCTTTATGTCTTATATTTTTCATATATCTTATATCTTCTTTATGTCTTATATTTTTCATATATCTTGTATCTTTTTTATGTCTTATATTTTTCATATATCTTATATCTTCTTCTTTAGTCTAGTCATTCTGATTTTTATACACTTTTCTTTGGATTTTATAAAGGAACCATTTTGCTATTAAAAAAGTTCTTTGCATTTGGCCTAATCGTATCTCTGGCTTGTGATCCTTTGCTTCTCTATTGAATGGCATCAATTTCCTTTTTCATGCACATACACCCACACACTTTCATTGGAAAACATTCTATTAAATATTTAAAACATGTTTGAGCTTTTATGTAAAAGTTTTCAATTTTATTTTTATTTTTGAGATTCTATTTCAGGAAACTTGAGAAGAAAAAAAAAACAAAAGAAGAAAAGGAAGAAGAAAGAAGAAAAAATATTCTAGAAAATCGTCGGTTAAAACAGCAAATAGCAACAGAAAAATTCCAGCATTTTTCGGAACCAGTTAAGCAGAAACACGTTCGTTCTGGTATGCATATTTTTACAAAAATTTATTAATTAAATTTATGACTAGAATAGTAACTAATTTTTTTAACATAATATTTGACAAAATCATGTAGTGATGTTTTAAAAACAGTTTCTATCAAAAGTAAAATTGTTTAATCAAGCAAGTGTTAAACTGTGCACTTTGGTTAGCTGAAACAATCTAATTTTTTAGTTGTCAGCTGAAACAGGGTAAACTAGTTGTTAGCTGAAACAGGGTAAACTAGTTGTTAGCTGAAACACTGTAAACTAGCTTTACATATTGCAAACACTATCTATACTTCTCTAGTGGACATAAAAACAAAGGTTTTAATTTTTTTTAAGTATTAAAGAATAATTAAGTAATTTGTTTGACTTGAAAAGGCAATATATAAAAAAAAATTTGCCTCTATAAGACTCCAGAGGGACTCCATTGCAGTAGGGTGTTTTATTTCCAACAATTTTTTAAAAATAATTACATTACATGCATAATAGGATAAATAATGAGCAAAAAAACATGTCTGTAAATTTTTCAAAATTTCAAAATGTCATCTAGAAGTTGGCATTTTGAAAAAATGGCAAAAAATTTTTTTACACTTTTACCAACTTTAAATTTAAATAATTTTTTAATGATTTTAAAGAAAAATAATTTTATGTCATGTTACTTGGTGTATATATTAATGATTAGATGTCATGTTACTTGGTGTATATATTAATGATTAGATGTCATGTTACTTGGTGTATATATTAATGATTAGATGTCATGTTACTTGGTGTATATATTAATGATTAGATGTCATGTTACTTGGTGTATATATTAATGATTAGATGTCATGTTACTTGGTGTATATATTAATGATTAGATGTCATGTTACTTGGTGTATATATTAATGATTAGATGTCATGTTACTTGGTGTATATATTAATGATTAGATGTCATGTTACTTGGTGTATATATTAATGATTAGATGTCATGTTACTTGGTGTATATATTAATGATTAGATGAACATTTGGCCAAATTTTCAGAAGTCTAGAGATTTGGTATCTAGAGGTTAAAATTCAATCATGCTAATTTTATGCTCTAGTTTTTTTTAAGAATATTTATTAATAAAGAAAATAATAATAATATAAAAAGTACTATAAAGTATTAATTAGTTTTGATTTCAAATAAGATAGGTTTTGCTTTCTGTGTTGTGCAACAACTTGTAAAATAATTTAACGTTGCTCTTCATTTTGCGCACACTTGCAGAAATCACTAAAAAGCTTGATTTTCAGTAAAATCATTTGTTACTTTTAATTGTTTAACAAAATTTTCTTCAGTTTCATAATCTTGGGAGAATGTCCACTCTTGAGAATTTATCTGAAGCCATTCTTGATCATTTTTAGTCCTAATGAATCAAAAAGAAGCCAAGACCTTGGCCTAATTGAAAAATAAAAAAAAGTTGAAGAATTCCATTTTTAAAGTGTATATAGTATGTGACATAAAACTTGCATTGTAAATTGCAATTTTGAGTATTCTCTTCACTGATAGTTTTCCACCAAGGTAGATAAGAGTTAATTTAATTAACTCTTATCTACCTTAAAGAGTAAACAGTCTTCTCGGGATAATGTCTCTTCGTCAAGGCATTCATAAGCCCATTGCAGAACTAAATTTGCTTGATTAAATATTTCTGATTTAATGTCAGTGAGGCCATTCAAAATAAAGTTTGAGTAGTTAATATAAGTTCTTGAAAATTGGAAATGTTTAAAAATAGAACTCTTGCTATCTCTTTGTAAGGACATAAATGCATGTTAGATACCTAAATACATGTTTAGCTTGTTATGATGAGGCAACATACTACCCAAAGAAGAGGTCTTTTTAACTTAATTTTGATTAAAGCTTTTTTATTACCTCCTCCTTTTTTATTACCTGTGTTGCTGGCTGTTGTATCAAAGCATATACCAACATTAATTTCCAAAACCTTCTAATCTTGCGCAAGTTTTCCAGATGCATCACATTGAATTTTACTTGTTAAATCTTTAATTAAAGGTACACCAATATGTTTTGTCCTGCAAAAAAAAGTTATGTTAAGTTCTTTGAAACCAACAATAAGAATAATTAAATTATTACTTTAAAACACCTAGACTAATGCTATCAATGCTAAAGAGTAGCAGAAAATATCACATGACAGATATGTCATGTGATATTTTCTGCTAATCTTTTGATCTTTATAAAATAGTCATTTTATCTTCTTTCCATTTTGGTCTTTGTTATATCAACATATGTTTGTATGAATTTGAAATGTCGCAAACTTCATTACAAAATCTTTCTTTAAATTTTTTTTTTTTTTAAATTATCTTCGCTTCCAACAAGGTTGCAAGCAACCACTTATTAGTGTTGGAAGTTACTGGAAGAGAAAAGATGAAGATTGTAGAGCAAGATAACGATTGACAGACGACTTAAAATATTGCAAATTATATGAATCAGGAAAGTAAGATGAAGGAAGCGAATTCCAAAGAACTGATGTTCGAGGAAAAAAACTAGACAAATAAGAGTTTTTGGAGCACTTAGGAACAGTAACAGAAAAAGGATGAGACTTAATTGAATGACGAGTAACACGAGAATGAATTTTAGTAGATGGCACAAGAGACACTAGCTCTTTAGAGCAGTGCCCATTATAGTATTTGTAGAAAAGAGAAAGAGAAGCAACATTACGACAATGTGACAGAGGTTGAAGATTGGCTGCAAGAGCAGGTCCAACTATGTTTACAATGCGTTTTTGCACCTTGTCTAAAAGAGAAAGGGCATCATTAGAAGATCCACACCAGATATGGCAACAGTATTCCATACAAGGCCGGATTTGAGATTTATAGAGATAGAGAATAGAATCCAGAGTAAGAAAGTGAAGAGCTCGATAAAGAGAAGCAACTTTAGCAGATGCTAATTTTGCAACAGATTTGATATAAGGTTTCCAAGAAAGATCAGAAGTAAGAGTTAATCCTAGAAAATGAAGGGTAGGAGACTCATCGAGTACATTACCGTTCATAAATATAGGAAGGTCTAAATTATTGGGATAACGATTGGTCGAAAAAAATTGAGTTTTATCTGAATTAAAGTTCACCAGCCACTGCGAGCCCCATGCTGTAGCAGAAGTGAGATCCTTTTCGAGCTCAGATGCCCCCTGCAAGCAATCAAAGGGAGTTGACTTCTTATTGTGACAAGAATAAATGGTAGTATCATCAGCGAACAATGCCACCTTAGATGTGAGAATATCTGGAATATCGTTAATGTAAATTAAAAAGAGTATAGGGCCAAGGATTGAACCTTGGGGAACCCCTGAGGTTACAGAATAAGAAGAAGAGTGCTGTCCATCAAGGACAACTTTTATACTACGATTGGAAAGGAAGGATTTAATAATCTTAAAGATGTTTCCAAATACACCATAAGAAGAAAGCTTATGGAGGAGACCAGCATGCCAAACTTTATCAAACGCTTTAGAAATGTCAAGAGCAATGGCCTTAACCTCTCCACCTTTATCTAATGCGCGATAAAACCTATCGGTTATTACTGATAGCAAATCAGCCGTAGAACGAGAAGATCGAAATCCATACTGATGATCAGAAAGTAGGTTATGAGATTCGAGATGAAATATTATGTGTTTGTTAATTAAAGATTCAAAAACCTTGCTTATGATAGGAAGAAGACTAATGGGACGGTAGTTAGATGAGTCAGATCGCTCTCCAGAATTTATAAAAATAGGGATAACAGATGCTGCTTTCCAGCAGGCTGGAAAACAAGACTCTAATAAGCACTTGTTGAATAGTTTTGAAAGGATAGACGACAGCTCCGGAGAACACTTCTGCAAGACTATAACAGGTATGTTGTCCGGGCCGCAAGCTGTAGAAGAGTCTAAGCGGGAAATCACTTTAGATACAGAAGCTGGAGTGATACGAATGTCGAGCAATGGATCAACCTGTTTGACGGGTATATCAGGTAAAACGCAACTAGTGGCATCAAGTGATGATATTGTTCTTGGCAAACACTTCAGCTTTGTCTTTAGGTGAGGTGACAAAGTCTGAACCGTACAAAAGAGGTGGAATTACAGACTTGCCCTTATTATTGATACTATTAAAGATTCTCCAGAAGTCACGAGAGCCTAATTTTTGTGATGAAATTCGAGATTTCATGGTCTGAGAATAGCAGGTTTTGGCGTTAGACAAAACCTTTTTACAATGGTTCCTAGCAGTAATAAAGAGACGTCTGTTTTCTGGAGAATTGTTTTGCTGATAGATATGGAAATAATGGTTTCGATTGGCAATTGCAGCAGCAAAATGTGAAGAAAACCATGGAGAAGAGTGAGGCTTGACCTGGAATCGTCGAGAGGGAATAAAGGATTCCATGCCAGCCTGAATCCACGAAGTTATGTAAGAAGCACATTCGTCAACAGGGAGATGAAAGATTTCTACCCAGGGGCCATCAGGAAGAAAGTCACGAAAAGAGTCCCAGTCAGCATTAAGGTAGTTGTAAGATGTACGATGATAGGGGGATTCTAATGGTGAAGAAGAATGAGATAATAGTTTTAGAGAGACCAAACCATGATCAGACGCACCTAACGGTGAATGTGAAGAAACTGAGCACTGACTAGGATCAGAAACAAGACATAAGTCGAGTAGAGAAGGTAAATATTTCAACTGCTCAGTTTTTTAATTTCACTTCTTTCCCAAACAATTTTGTAAGCAATGAAAGAGTTATCTGATTGAATTGGTACTCTGTTTCCCACACCTCTTAAGTCGCCAAGTACTAAGTACTTAAAAAAAAAATATTTGCAAAAGTTTTGCTTTTTGAATAAAAACATAAATGAGAGTATCTAGCACATGTTTTTTTTGATGGTTGGCAATTGAAGTTTGGCAAGTTATCGGGTTCTGCAGGGTTGGCAATTGAAGTTTGGCAAGTTATCGGGTTCTGCCGGGTTGGCAATTGAAGTTTGGCAAGTTATCGGGTTGCAAGTTATCGGGTTGCAAGTTATCGGGTTGCAAGTTATCGGGTTCTGCATAACCAATAAAACAATCTTGGCAGTTTTTCTTTTTATCATTATAATAAATTATTCGTTTACTTAATAAACTAGTTTTCCGATTATTTTCGATTTTGTTAATTGATATAACATCCAACTTTTTTTTTATAAGTTTATGATATTTTATATACATACATACAGGTGATTATTTTGCAATGTGTTTGCATTTCAAAATAATTACACAACAACTGTGGTCAATTATGCTCAAAATATATTTTGCATACAATGCAACAATTAAGGTATTAAGTTTATAGGTTTTTAATTAAAAAAATAAAAAAATAAAACTTAATAATATGGTGACTCCTAGACATTAACCAATTTTTTTTGAAAACTTGCCCAAATGTTCATCAACCTCTATTATCAAGTAAACAAGTCAAATGTTCATCTGATTTATATACACCAAGTAAGATGACATAAAATTAATTATTTTTCAACTTATTAAAAGTTAAAGTTGATAAAAGTGTGAAAAATGCTCTTTTTTCATAATGGTGACCTCTAGATGACATTTTAAAATTTTAAAAAGTTTACAAACATGTTTTTTGCCCATTATTTATCATGTTATGCAAGTAAAACCATTTTATAAAAAATTTCAGAAATGAAACACCCTACCACTATACTGAAAGAGGCTACCACTACACAACCACAAGAAGGCTACTTTTATCTATTTTAACCTCTCTCAATCCTTTGAAAATTTTATTAAATTTTATTTAATTTTTTTAAAACCTGTTTTTCTATGTTTTTCAACAATATATTTCTCTGCACTACTTTACAGAGAAACATGTTAATGCCCATAATAATAAGATGAAAATTTAGAAAGAGGTTGAAAATATGTCTCTGGATAATATTTTCAGGTATTCATTATTAAACTATTTCAGTCTGTAGAAACCATTTATTGACAAGTTTTGCACTGCTAATACTAAAATATTTTATTGCTGTTGATGAAATTTTTCTAAAAACTACTGCAGTAGCTCTAAAAGCTACTGCAGTGTTCAAAAAACCTTACTATTAATTAAACCTTACTTCTGAACCATCTGAGTTTTAGAGCTCAATTGCCATACTATAAAGGAGACTTGACACGTCAATCACTCCTTTGAATAAGATGTAACCAATTGTCGATACAACGTTCCATGCCATTTCTATGGTGGGGTCATATAGCAGGAGTTTATATGTGGTATCATCTGCTAGCATGGTGTTATTTTTCTCTTCATAATCTCTCCTGTTTAAGATGCAGATGCTACCACCTTTGTCAGCTTGCTTGATGATGATATTGTTATTATTTTTCAGTGTCAAGATTGCTTCTTTCATGTTTTTCGTTAGGTTGGGGTGTGCTATGTTCATTCTCTCATTTAGTACTGTGTCCGTTTCACTCTTTATCCTTTCAAAGAAAAGATTTAAATTTGCATTGTTGGATGCAGGAGGGTTCCAAATTGTAAATAAATAATTTTTTTCAATAATTATTTATTTACAATTTATCAATTGTAAATAAATAATTATTGAAAAAAATTAAACATAAAAAAACTTGATCCTAGTTTTATACAATAAATGTAACAAATCAGTTAATTATAGTTTGTTTTTTTTGTTGCTTTTTTATATATATTTAATTTCTAGGTTCTTGGTTCTAGCCTTCTTTCCTCCAAAATTATCAGTTTATTTTAAATGGTTGTTTAGAATATTTTAAAATTTTTATGCTTCCTTTCACATTGTCAAAACCAAGCAATCAACGAAATAAACTTTAAATTTAAGTTTTACTAAATAAATATTACTTATTATATTTTAAGTATGTTTTTATGGGATTTTTAATAATAACTAAATTAAAATTTTTATTTAACAGTGCGTATATATATATATATATATATATATATATATATATATATATATATATATATATATATATATATATGTATATATATATATATATATATATTATTATTATTATTATTATTATTATTATTATTATTATTATTATTATTATTATTATTTTATAAACATCAATAAATACGATTTTCTCTCAATACTAAATTTGTTTTTTTAAAAGAATATATATATATATATATATATATTATATATATATATATATATATATATATATATATATATAATTTTTATTTTTAATCGTAGTTAAGATAAATATTCTTAATTGTAATTAGATGATAGAAGTAACTTTATCTAACTTATAATTTAAAAAAAGGGTTTTTTTTTTTTTTACATCCTTAACTAAAAAGATTTTATTTTTTGGTTCAAATCCAAAATGCTTATCCCCATTTAAGTTTTAAACAACATTTTATTGCAATTAAAACGTTGTTCAAGTTAAAACCTTTGTGATTAATACAATCAATATCAAACTTTCCAAAAAAATAACAGAAACATTGATGATTTATGTTGCCTTCTTTTTGTATTAAATTGATATATACACAAATTTACTATAATGGTACTGCTTATTCATGTGCACTAATTTATACAATAGTTGCGTGTCCTGCTTATTTTTACAGTAAGTGTGTTTTCTGCTCATTTATACAGTAGGTGTGTGTCCCACTCATTTATACAGTGGAAGTGTGTACTGCTGATTAATACAGTAGGTGTGTGTCCTGCTCATTTATACAGTGGCAGTGTGCACTAATTTATACATTATTTGTGTATCCTGCTCATTTTTACAGTAAGTGTGTGTCCTGCTCATATATACTGTAGGTGTGTTTCCTGCTCATTTATACTGTAGGTGTGTTTCCTGCTCATTTATACTGTGTTCATTTAAGTGTGTGTCCTGGTTGTTTATATAGTAGGTGTGTTTCCAAATCAATAACATCTTCCTTATACATTATGTCCTGCTTGTGAATGAACACTCTAATCTGGATTAGGGTCAGTGTTAGGATTAACCCTAATCAGGGTTAGGGTGACATACATCTAGCATGTTAATTATTTATTACATGCAGATGTATCTGCATTTATTACATGCATATACATTTGGTAAGTTGGTTCATTTAACAATAAACATGTGTCATAAGTATTTATAAAACAGAAAATATCATGGACTGTGATCATGGGTACTAGAAGGTCTCTGGTATTACATTAATTTTATGTAACACTTATTTTTAGCTTCAGTTGGCACCCAGTTGAAAGATGGAAAGTATGATGTTGCTGGATATTTAATTGATATTAAAAATGGTGTCAGAGTAAATTCAACATTAGTTTCATCAGCTAATCCAATGAATACAAAACTAAGATATGCTGCCCAAAATGATATTTTAAGTCAAACTACCATCCAAAGTAATACTTTGAATCCACCGGTTACCCAAAGCAATATTTTGAATCTACCTTCTGGTCAAAGTAATATTTTGAACCTAGCTGGAAACAAAAGTAATAATTTTAATTTACCAGAATATTTATCAAACAACAACTTAAATAGCATTAAAAAAAATCAAAATAATCATATTGGTGAGAAAATTTTTTCTGCAAAAACATTTAATAATTATGAAGGAGACTCTTCTTCTTTAGAAAGTCTGGCTAGTAATGATAGTTTAAATAAAAATAATATAAACCAACACAGTGAAGTAAGCAATATAAAGTTTTTTGAAAATAAAAATGGAGGTTGTCAACCTAATAACATTATTGATGTATCACCTTACACGACCGAACAATTACTTGAACAGATCCAAAAGAATATGCTATCTACAATTAGTGAAGTTACTGGAGAAGATTCATCATCATCCAACAAAACTTTATGTCAAGTGAATAATGTTGCAATTGTTTCTCCTCGAGTTTTAGAAAAAGAAAAAATCATTAGAGATAATACTTCTGCAAAACGTCTTAGTAATTCATCAATTGGTTTAAGCTTAAAAGATAGCCTTGATACAATAAACAATTTTGCTATAAATAAAGAGGCTTCCAAATATATGTATAGTACTGCAGCAGTAAATCAAGAAGTTGCCAAACACAGGTATAATAACGTAGCAGAGAATCAAGAAGCTTCAAAACATATCTTCGGTACTGCAGCAGACAATCAAGAAGTTTTCAAACACAGTACTGCAATAAAAAATAGTTCTGAAAAAGGTAAAGAAAATTTTAAACATAGTACAGCAATTATTACTGAGCCAGTAAATCAGCAAGCTTTCTATGAACAACCTTTCCATGATAAAACTAAACCAGTATATCAGCAAGCTTTCCATGATAAAAAAGACAATAAAAAAAATGCTTTATCTGAGTCTTTAACTTTAAAAAATTATCAGCCAACAACTTCTTACAATCAGTCAACAACTTCTTACAATCAGCCAACAATTTCTTACAATCAGTCAACAACTTCTTACAATCAGCCAACAACCTCTTACAATCAGCCAACAACTTCTTACAATCAGCCGACAACTTCTTACAATCAGCCAACAACTTCTTACAATCAGCCCTTGTTTTTAAAGCCATCTGTGAATGTAATACCAACAGTTTACTCTTCAAGTTCTAATCATGTTCTTAGTCAATACTCTAAGGACATCAACTCTTCAATAGCAAATGTTTCTAAAGACTCAGTATGTTCATTTACCACACCACATAATGGATATAGTTCGAAGCAATCTGTTGTTTCTGAGACATCTATCTACTCTGCTAATAAAGTTAATTATTTTGATTACTCAATAGCAAAAAATAAATATCAATCTGACTCATTGGAAACAAAGCCATATACATGCAACATTGATCAAACAAAATTGGAAACAAAGCCATTTACTTGCAATGTTGATCAATTTAGCGAAAAAAAAAATAGTCTTTTGCAACAACTCGATGGTTCTTCTGTTTCTCCAAATATAATAAATAGAAATGAAAAAATTGTTTCTGAAGAAACTGATGAAATTTTTAAACAAGCGCAGCAAAGTTTTGCTGAATTAACATTTCCAAAAATGAAAAATGAGAGTTTTTTAAATAATATTTTAAATGATGAAAAAGACACTAAAGAAAATGATGAAAGAGACATAAAAAACAAAGTAAATACAGAAAAGTATGATATTTGTGCAACAGTTAAATATGGTAAAGATTTTGATGAAAATGCAAACTCTGTTCCTCCACGATATGATTCAAATAATTTAAAGCATGGGCGCCTGATAGTTAGTGCTGAATCTAAAAAAAAAATAAATGCAAACTTTACACCCCATCCGCCTATGAAACCCAAGACTACAATAGATTTTGCTCCACCATCAACACACCATCCTCCAATATCTCAAAATAGCAATTCAATTTTAAATTTTGATGAAAAAGTGTCATCAGGACAATTTAATCACTTGAGCAATATGAATTCATTTGGGAAACACACCAGATCAATTTCATCTGGAAGTACTGGCAATAATAAAACAGAACTTTTTCAAAAATCTAAAGTTAATTTTTCTAATGATCCAAAGAACTTAAGCAGCTCACAGTTATCTGGAAATAAGGGGGAAAATTCTAAAAAGCAAAAGAATATTGCACTCAATAAAACTCCAACTGACGATGAGATTAACAACCTGTGGGAAAATGTACGTCAGTGTTTGTCTGCTGAATCATCAGGCAGGCAAGCTCATTCTGATATTGTTCCTGTTACTCAAACGTTTTATCAATCTCCTAGAAGTTACAATAATGGTCAATTCTATCGTTCTCTTTCTGCATCTTCATATCGAAGGAACAGTTCACAAGAAAATTCTACAAAACAAAATAGCTTTTTTAACCAAAACAATAAAGGATTTATAGGTGCTAAAAATAATATTGGAGTAATGGGTGTTAGAAGCACCAATAACATTGCTAGTAGACAATCACTGCTTCCACAGCGAGCTGTTCAAATGATAAGAAACCCGAAAATTATAAATAAACTTGATTTAAATCAGAACAATGTACAAAATAATGGTAATAAAATTATTAATTTTTTTTTAAAAAAAAAAGTGTTTTTTAAATGACGTCAAAAAACATTTTTTTAAAAGTACTTTTTAGTTTTCTTGAGTACCTGTATTTTAGCATTGTCAAGTACTGCATCATTTTTAGCCCTTGAGGAGCTATGCAAACACGAATCATTAACTCCAAAACAAACTGATGTTTTCTTTCATCCATCTATGCAGTTAAAAAAAAAGTTCAGCAACGTTGGTAATTTTTTCTCTAATCTTTTATTTTAAATGTTTCAGCCATTTTCGTATTCACTATTTTTAGGTAAAATGCTTCAAGAAAATTATCTAAAGTAAAAAAGTTTCTTTTTCACTAGATTTATCTTATGAAGAACGTTGTGTTATGGCATCCTTGGATCGAATTAACAAGAAATTAGAAGGTTCTATTGTTTTTTACTTGTAATATTAAATTTTTTATAGAAATTTTAAATGTGTGTGTGTTAAAATTAACCTAATATATATTTATTTAATATATAAATATATGCTTTTTGCAATTATTTAAATTTTAATTAATTTAGTGTTGAGAGAATGGTTGCTTTTCCTTTTTCAACACAATTTTTTTTTTTTAACCAATTTACTCCCAACAAAGTTGCAAGCAACCACTACAAAGCAGCATGAAACCAACAAGAAAAATAAAAGTTTCCATGCCTGACTGAATTTTAGTTTTATATAGGAGGCACAATTTTTATTTGAGATATCAAAGACTTCAGCTCAAGGACAAAGATATTTGTTGATGCATTTCTAAGTCTTAAGGTAGTAGTAAAACATAAATTCAGCGGAATCAGAAATAGTGAAATAGAAATTAGGTAAAAAGTACTAGTGAGAAATGAATAAGATCAAGAATGACAAAAAAAATTTGAACTTTAGTAGGCTCGAGCAAGGACTGTGGTAGTAGAATCACTTTTCCTGATTTATAGTTGCTTTTTTTAATAGTTCTATTGTCAAATGTCCTTTTTAACTCTTTTACTTTTTAGTAAAGAAAAAAATTAAAAGTTCTTTTTAATAGAGGTTGCTTGCAGTGTTGTGTTTTTTTTACAGTGAAAATTACTGTTAAAAAAATGCATTTCACTTTCATCATAATTGACTTGATTTAAATGTTTGATCAGGTGTGTTTTACAATGTACCCTGCAGCAGCCTTCAGATCCCTCAGGTCCAGTCCTCAGGAAACAATGAAAATCAAAAAAAAAACTTTTTAAAAACAAATAACTAATAATTTTTAATAACAAATAACCTTTTTATTAATTTCTAATTTTTTTGCTGTTATTACTTAAATTAAATACTAATAGAATTATAAAACAATAGAAAAATTCTTGCTACCCCCATTTCTTTAATGTTGCTGTTGGGTTCAAGCAAATATTCGATCTTCTAAAATTGTTCATTAATAACAACTACAAACTTTAAATAAGAACAAAATTTACTTATTTTAATATTAATTTAAAGAAATACATTACAAGAGTTTGTAAAAAATGTTAAAAAGATTTTCAAGATTTCTTCGAAAGATTTATTAATTATAGAACTTTTTTTATCACATCGTTTCTTTTTCTTATATCATATTGTATTTTTACAAATTTTAAAAACTGTTCAACATCAGTGTGGCAACTTAGTTAATAATAATGTTCCACCATTTTTAATTTTTTTTTTATAAATATTATGCGCTACCCAAACCCCTGTTGTGTCAGTCCATGTATAAATTGAGTTGTTTTAATTGTTTTTTTATTATTGTTAATTAATTTTTTGTTATTAAATATTGTAATTGTTTTTTTGCTTGTTTTTTATTGTATTTATGTAGTATAGGTTTATAGATTTATTATAGCTAGTATTTTATTAATATTTATTTATAAATATAGAAAAAGAAAAAGCGATGGGTCTTCATAAATAGCCGTGGGAGATGCAATAACCAGAAGCATTCCGGTGGTCTGTGCGTGAGGTAGTTGCAATAACCACTGATATTCTGACGGACTCCGTATATAGCCATTATGTTTACTGCAAATCTACTTTTTTTAAAAATCTTATGATTATGAAAATATCCAGTTGAAGAAACATGGAACATGTTAATAACACTTTTAATCGAAATTTGAACATCTTAGTTAGGTCTCATTATTTATTTTTAAAACTGCATTGTAAATATTAAAATATACAATAATGTATTTATAGAATTTATTGGCAAATCAATAATATATTCATTTTATTATAGATGTTGAAAAAGTTGTGTATATATATATAAATATATATGTAAATATATATATATATATATATATATATATATATATATATATATATATATATATATATATATATATATATATATATATATATATATATATATATATATATATATATATATATATATATATTTGTCCTTGTAAGCAGTTATTTTAATTTTTTTTTTGTTGTTGTTTTTTTGTTTTTTTGCGTTTATCGTCCCTGTAAGCATTTTTTATACAAATTAGATGAGTACATTTATTGACGTTGTTCTCACTTTTTAATGCATTGGCTGACGTTATTCTTTCTATAAATCTTAATGCGTTGCACAGTGGTCCAGAATTTTACCATTGCCTAAAGTACTATAAATATCAATTCTTCTAAACATTTTTTTTTCTTTGCATTATTGGCTCTTTACTCTACTTAAAACTGTATCAGTTTAATAATTAGATACAAAGACAAGCTCGCTAGAACCTTTTACAATAGCTTTAAAGAAATTTTTCCTTTTTACAAAATTTTACAAAATCAGTTACCCTCAAAATTTACCTAACTTTTTTAAATTAAAAAAAAATCATTATGATTTTATTTTAAATAAACATATTTACATAATGTGTATTTAAAAAATGCTTTACGTATTTAAATTTAGTTTTTTGCGTATTTAAATAACGTATTTAAATTTAATTAACAATTGTCTTGAAATTCTTTGTACTTTTTAAACGTTATTCAAAGTTTAACTTTTTCCTTGTTTTAAATTGTTTCGTAATTTTTGCAGTTATAATAAACGATAGGATTTATTCAAGAAAAAAAACCCACGTGATACCATAAGATATATATTTTTTGGTTCAAACTTACAAAATGAATTACAAAACGTTTTAAAATAAGACATTTAAAATAAAAAGATATTAAAAATATTTTTTGTTTGATTAATTACATTAACCTTTTCATTAATTAAAAAAAAAAAGAAAATCTTTTCCCTATAAATACTTAAAAATCAAGAATTTAAGAAAAAATTCCCACTATTAATACTAAGTATAAAAAAGCTCCTCAAATTTGCAAAAGGGCCCCTAAATTCGCTGACCCTACTTAATTGGGATGTGTAGGGTAGGGTAATTGGGATTTCTTACCGCGACTCTGTCCGGTTATTCCGTACCAATCTTTTAAAAAGAACTTCGCTAGATCAATGAAAGCACCCTCAGTGAAGAATAAATTTTGTCGTCTAAACCTCAACTTATTGTTATCTAAATTCATTCTGATCTTTAAAAAAACATAAAAAAAGTGAAATTTGATTATAACTAACTGTTCTCAAATGTAACTTCCTTTTGATACTCGTATCTCTTTTACCTTCGTTACCCATATTTAGATCTTGCAGAAATACTTTTTGTAAAAAATATTTTTTAAAACATTAAATAAATATATAGTATCTATCATACCCTACTCACTATCGCACCCTACTCGCTATCGTACCCTATTCACTAACGTACCCTACTTACTATCATACACTATTCGCTATCGTACCTACTCGCTATCGTACCCTACTTACTATTGTACCCTACTCGCTATCGTACCCTATTACTTTGTTAGATTTTATCATTTTCAAATATTTTTAAACTCCTTTGAGGTTAATTTAAAAGTTTTCAGATGAGAGGTAAGTAGGAAACAGGTTGTTTATTAACAAATGATCTATGTTTCCTTCTTACCTCTGATCTAAAACGTTTTAGGAATTACTTTTTAATCATTCAGACACAAAATTTTCATCAAATCTTCCGCAATCTTTTTTTTATCTGATAAAAAAACTATTTAATTTAAACAAATTTGAGAAAAAAAGCAAATTTGTTGCTGAACGTAACTTCTCATATTATAAACCATTTGCTTGTTTTTTATCGTTCAACGACTCAATCTAAATCCGGTATTGATATTAGTATATTAACTTCAATCTGAGATGCAATTCCATCTCCGATATCATTAAAATTTTCCCCTCCCTTTTGTTTGAACAGATTTAAATATAATTATTTCCTTTTTTTTTTTTTTTGAGGTAAGAGATAATTTATTTGAGCGGAGCCGTTGGAAAACATTGGCTAGATCGTAAACCATATTTTTGTCAAGATTTTTAAGTAATTTTTTAATTGGGAGCAAGTTAGTGTCGTCCGCAAAGTGATAAGCATAAGAAAGTTTAAGTGAAACATTTAAATCATTGATAAAAATGAGAAAAAACAATAGTCTTAGTAAGAAAAAGTAATGGTCCTAATTTATTATAAATGATTTGACACATTTTTAACATTTTGATTGCATTTGATTGCAACATTTGTTTAAATTCTGCGTTAAAAAAATAAAACTTTAGAGTTTTATTAGTAGATTAGGCATACATTGACAGTATTTACTGATTAACTGTAGTACGATTAAAATTTTAAAAAACATAATTTAAAAAAACATAATTTTAAAAAACAAAATTTTAAAAAACAAAGTTTTAAAAAACATTCTATATAAAGCTCGTAACTATTATAATAAAGTTTGCTTAAGCCAAATTTATTGCTCTTTTATCAACAGTTACATAAATTATGCTGACACTGCTTGGGGGAGTACCATAAAGTAAATTAAAACTTCTTTATCGTTGTCAAAAACATACGATCCGCATAATTAACTATGCTGATCGTTTTACACATACAAAACCTTTTTTTACAGAAATGAGATTATTAAATTTATTTGAACTCAATGTATTTAAAGTTTTATGTTTTGTATATTTATGGAGTAATCTATTCTTTTCCGTTTTTAATAATACTTTCAAACTCAAACCTAACAAATACGGTATAACAAACATAAATTTATCAAATGAGCCGTTTTGTCACACAAAATTTAATCAACTTTGCATTGCTTATAGTGGACCCCGTCTATGAAATAATATTGTTTTGGGGAATTTTGATCTACCAACTTTCTTTTAACTTTTCTCAATTTAAAAAAAATGTATTCATACTTTTAATATTTTGAAAAATGTTGGACTACTTGGATTATAGTACTTTTTAATTTTTCGTTTTTACTTTTATAATATGTTGTACTCGTAATTATTTTGCTTGTTTGTGTTTCATAAGAATCTGACAACAAGATCTTGTGATCTTCTTTCAGATCCTAGTTCATGTTTCATTGCTAGTAGTTTATTACACAGATCAAGTACACAGTAAATACTAATTCTTGATGTTTAGGTTTCAGTTTTTTTTTGTGGCATAAACAAGAACTTTGAAGTTATGCATACTGTTGAAATGTGCAAAAATATCGAATAATCAAATAAAAAATAAAAAATGATCAGTATTTATTTAAATCTACTCTTTTTCTTAATATTCAGTGAAAGTTTAAAATACTATAACTTCATTTACTTAAGGATTATGCTACCACGTGTTACTAAACAACAAAAACCACAATTTGCAAGTGTCGTTGATGGTGAAAAATCATTTTTTTTTTTTGTAAATGTGAACCAATTACAAAAAATCTAAATTTAATTGCACCGCGCAGAAATAAATTGTCTGCATGTAACAATTCAACGGGTCATTTCAGAACGACCATAAATCAAGAAAAGCAATTTTTGAGAAGTAAGAAAAAACATATATGGTTTTTATACAAAGCATTATACACCGTAGCCGAAATAATTTATTTGAAAAAAAATGTCCACCAGAAACGGTTTGCATTTTCGAAACCACAATACTTTAAATAACTATTATCTAAACTTGGAAAATATTCTGTCAATGTTTTTAAAAAATAAAAAAAGAAGGAAGGGGGGGGGGGGGTTTAAATAGGCAGGTCATAACTTGTTGGTGTTTAAAATAGATCACTTTCAAAGATGGTGCAAACTTTAAATTTTGCAATATTAATACTGGTATCAAAAAATAATGTTCTACAAAATATAACAATGATAGGAGCCTGGAAACAATATACACCTAAAAATTGGGATCCACTGTCCCAAATGTGGAAAAAAGAAAAAAAATCTTTTTTTTTTGCAGTAATAGATCAATGTTCACCGGAAAATCTGTTTATCTGAAAAAAATTTCTTATCGTTTAAAAATGGCGACCAAGGAAAATTTGAAACCCCCTATTTGAGGCGGTTGTCAACTTTACAACGTCATAACTTTTGAACGTTAAAATAGTTTTTTACTAAATGAGAATTTTACGGATGAGTTTTAGTCGAGTTTATAGCTGTAGAGTTTTTAGTGCTAGCTTTTTTTAAGTGCTAATTTGAGGATAATATTGTTCCCAAACTCTGATCACCATAATTTTTTTTAACATATTGTTTATATTAGTGTAAAAATATACATCAGAACCCGTACGAAAATTTCCCATGGGAATTTTAGAAAAAAAACCCATGGAAAAACCATGGGTATTTGGAACAAGTTCCCATGAAAAAGCCATGAGTTTTCCATGGAAAAAACATGAGTTTTCCATGGAAAAACCATGAGTTTTCCATGGAAAAACCATGAGTTTTCCATGGAAAAACCATGAGTTTTCCATGGAAAAACCATGAGTTTTCCATGGAAAAACCATGAGTTTTCCATGGAAAAACCATGAGTTTTCATGGGAAACACATGAATTTCCCATAAAAAATCTTTAAGTTTTTCATGGAAAAGTGTTCCAAATACCATGGATATTCAATGATTTTCCATCCATGGAAAATCATTGAATATCCATGGTATTAGGAACACCTTTCCAAGGAAAACTTATGGATTTTTCATGGTAAAAAAGCATGATTTGTTTTCAAGTTTTTTATCTAATATTATTTGAATTGTCATATTAAATCATAAAAGCAAATTTTATCCCACTATTATTGAGTTCTCTTAATCTATGAGATCGCTTTCTCCAAATAAAATCAATAAACAAAATAAAATTTAAATCTTGTTAAATCCTACAAATCTTTGAAAAATAATAGCTATAATGCACCTAAAACATCAAAACTTGACTTCCCCACAATATTTAATGCACGCATATGTATAACATACTGAAAATAAATAAAACAAAAAATTACAAGTAATATAATACTATAAGTGATATATATAGTGATAAACAATTGAAATTTATCAAGAAAACAATTTTTACAGAAAATAAAACAATTTACATGTTTATTATTTTATATTAACTATTTGATAAAAATAGTATATATAAATTTGATAATAACTTCAAGTTTTAACAAGTTAAAAAGAGCCATCAATACAACATATTTAATTCAAAAAAACATCAAGCCCATTTATAAATGCATCTGTACTGTATCTGTAGAAACAGGTAGATGTTAAACAAAGTACCATTCACATATTAATATTCATTTTTTTTCACCCTAGTTAGTCTCATTCTCCATTTCACCAATCTAGACAATACATCATACAACTATTATATACATTCTAACTAGTTTTCTTTATTTACTAATTCATTTTACTTATAATTATTATCTATTATAACTTACTTTATAATTAGGCATTATACACAATTATGAATGTTGCCAAATGTTAGGTAACATATAGAAAAAAGTAGCAATGAATATATCATTATTTATAAATACAAATTATTAGATTGTTACCTCTTTTTTGCCTAAGCTATCTGCATTATGTACAACATCGTTTATATTTCCAGTCAAACATTCCTGCCTATAACGTAACTTTATTAAAATGATTTATTCAAACTAATACATATATAAATGTTACCTGCATGTTAGAAACATTTATATAGAACAAGGCAGCAACAAATATTATATTATATATTTACTTTTGTAATTAAAAAAAAACTTACTTCTTCTTCTGAGCTATCTGCATGATGTACAACATTATTTACAAACCTGTTTTCTTCACGTCCTTCCATTTTTTAATATATTATAAAGCACAGGACTTGTTAATGAACGGCTAAATAAATAAATTAAAAATTTATATTTAAATGAAATGATAAGATTAAAATGAAAAGATTTATACACATATATAAATTTTACCTGCATGTTAGTAACATTTATATAGAATAAGGCAGCAACAAATATAGTATAACTTATAAATTGTAATTTTAAGTAACAACTTACTTCTTTGTCTGAGCTGTCTGCATGATGTACAACATTATTTATATTGTCAGTCAAACTTACCTGCTTATAATGCAGTAATTTAAATAAAATGATAAAGTTAAAATAAAAGAACTTACGCACATACCATTAAATTCAAAAATTTATTATATTTTTACTTCACTATTTAAAACATAACAAATATGTAATTTATAAAGTATAGTAATGTAAAAGCATAGTAAATATCAAAGTGTGTGCATAAATTAATTTATTTTAACTAAAGACGAGCACTTTACATCAGTTAAATATAAACAAATAAAAATAATTGTATTATAATAAATAATAGTGTATTATTTATAAACATTGCTTTTATATGCTTATATTTAACTATGAAGTAAAATCTTGTGCATTAAGTAAATTCCCTTACTGATACTTAACTAAGTGGTTCTTAGAACATCCATACAAGTTGAATCCCAAAGATTACGTTTATATCTTTTCTGGATTAAACTCAATTCACCATTTTATTTTGACAGCTTTTGAACTATTTTTAAAAATATTAAATGCATATAAAAACTGACGATGTTATAAACAATATAAATGATGAACAACATTATTTATATTGCCAGTCAAACCTGTTGGCTTATAATGTAGTAATTTAAATAAAATAATAAAGTAAATATAAAAGAATTTATAAACATTATTTATATAACATTATTTACATATTCTAATAATTCTAAAGAAAAAACTACAACAAAAAGACAAAAACAACTTAACAGAACTAAAATTGAATAGAACATTTATCATAAAAAAATGTTTTTTAATACTTAATGAACATTTACGATACAATAAACTTCAAGCATTTTTATGTAATCTAAGGCTATTATAAAAAAAAATATAAAAAAGATCATACTAGTTATCTTTTGTACATTAGTTATCTAATCTTATTATCTTAGTTATCTAATCTTATCTAATATACTGCTTGTATAATAATACTTTAGATAAGTTTCTTTAATACGTTTGATAAGTTTTATAATAATAATTATACTAGTTTGAATGTACATTAAATTACACTATGTACATTAATACACTAGTTATTTAATGTAGATTAAAACTAAACATTTATTTGTTGTAAACCAAATAATAATTATTTGGCAAATAATTTGCCAAGTAGGCATTAAAATTCAAACTGGTTTACTTGACATACTTGCTATACTATTGCAAGTTATGCAAAGTAAGCAAAGCTACTGGAAACAGTTAAAATAAGTATATGCATAAATGATATATAATTAAATATAATTAAAAATAATCCATTTTATAATGCATTATAATATGATAAATATATCTAGTTGTTTATGCCTGTATGTTTAGTTTAAATCATATAAATGTAATGCATTATAAAAAACATATAATTCATAGCCTTATTAAACACAGAAAAACAGAAGAATGCAGTAAGTATTGTTTTCTAAAGTTAAAAATAATCATAACTCTACGAGCTATGACGCCATCTTTAAAAGCGCATTTGTAACAACCATGGCGCAGCTTAAGCTATGAAAAAAAAAACATGGTTCACCCATGGAAATTCCATAGGATTTCAATTTTCATGAAATTTACCCATGGAAATTCCATCGAATTCCCGTTTTCCATGGGAAAACCATGGTTTACTCATGGAATTCCATGGGTTTTCCATGGAATATTTCCGTAAGGGAAGGTTACTTAGGTAATAAATAATACATATCAGGAGGTTACTTATCTTGATCAATATATAATCTTGATATTGATCTTTTAGTTCATTTATTTTTCAGTTAGAGAATGGTTTAAACAAACCAAATTAATGTTTACATTTATATTTATTTTCATTTACAATCAATAATAGTTTGCTCTTATTTAGTGTGTTTTTAGCGGGATAAACATTAAAGCCACACATGAAACGTACCAACGCCAAATCATAAAGGAGAGTGGTAAATATATGGCTAACATGTGCTTTCCACACGTATGCCACATAAAACTTTCACGCACAAATTAAGCGTGGCGTTCGTTCTTATTTAGTGTGGTTTTAGTAGGATAAACATTATACCTGCATATGGGACGCATCAACGCCATCCCATAAAGGAGAGTGGTAAATATATGGTTTGCATGCAAATGCCATATATGGCCCACATTAAAATTTCTTGTCGGGACATATATAATTTCTTGTTTAAATAGAGGGTAAAAAGGAAGATCACTAATCAAAAAATATCAAAAGTATATTGTTAAATCTTCGATTGTAAAAATGAGTTCTTTAAGCTTTCGTTTAAAAGAAAAATAGTTACTTTTATGAATAAAATCTTAAGTAAAATTTTTTAAAACTATTCTATTCTATAAGAATGGTCCGCAATAATCAATACAAAATTTAAAAAGATTTGTTTGAAAAATGGGCTGCTTAATAAAATTATCATTGCGTAAAATGTATCTATTTTTATCTTTTGATGAATACAAATTATGGAAAAAGATCGGGGATGAATTGGTTTTACATTTAAACATAAAACAAAAAATGTTAAAAATATTAGGCTCATATATATTAAAAACTTTCATTTCAAATAATAAAGGCTTGGCATGAGTATAACGGTCTTTAAAATATATAAGAAGTGCTACATGCTTCTGCTGACAATAAAGAGGTTTAAGTCTATTTTTATTCGTACTACCCCAAGAAATGTTTGCATAGTTTATGTGACAATGAATAAATGAGTGAATTAATTGTGCTAAAGTATGTTTATTTAAAACATTTTTTGCTTTGTACAATATTCCTATACTTTTTGAAATTTTACTTGATAAGTTTTTAATGTGATTTTTCCATGTAAGATTTTTATCTATACAATTACCTAGAAAGTTGGTTATTTGTTTAATTTGTATATTGTCAATAACAAGATGATGTTAATTGGCAATTTTTTTTTTTTGATAAGAGGATCGAAAAGAATCCATTTAGTTTAAGAGATAGTTTGTTGGTCTTAAACCAGTCAGATATTTTGATTAACTCGATGTTCAAGTAATAAAATAGAGTAGGAATGCTTTTGTGTGACATAAATTGTAACATATTTAGTTTTAGGCTTTAAGCAGACTGTGCGGATAGTCTTTAAGGCTGCTAGAAATTTTGTATCCAGTCTTCCAAAACTGTTTGAAATTATAATGAATAGGATCAGAGGCGTGTTCAGACCAAAAAACCAATCCCTTTTTTGGAATAGAATTATACATAAGTGAAAAAAATTCACATGTATGCTTGATGAGAGCATGCACTTCTGGTGACACTCGTAGACCAAGTTTAACATAAGCATGTTTGTATTCGTTAATGGTTGACTTATATTCTGGTAACAAACTAGAAACAAGACATGCAACTTTAACAGATTTTAGATTATATATCATTTCTATAGCTAATAGAATTATTATTTTATTAATTAGATTATATATCATTTCTATAGCTAACCTTTGAATGTTTTAAAGGAATTAGCTATAGAAATTATATGTTCATCTTTTTCCAGTTTAGAAGATTTGCGATATTGTGATATATTATAGGAAAGTTAAATTTGCAAAACAACGATATGTTGATAAGAATGTACCAAACTTAGGAGATGGTAATGAAGGTTCGGTCAAACTGTTTTCTTTTGAAATATTGAATGCTGGTTTTTATTTTTATTATTTTATTTTTAAACAGTTAAGAATATGATATAATTCTGTATAATTCAGAAAGAAAAAAAACAGTTAAGGATATGATATATTGTCTGTATAATTCAGAAAGAAAAATTTAAAAAATATTTATGCCTAAGATATCAATGTTCAAAGCTTAAGTGACCAAACTTAGTGACCGAACTTAGGCAATTTTACAGTTGTTTTTTTTTTTAATTATTTTTTTAATTTTTGTTTTAAATGCCCTATAAAAACCTAATTTTGATTTCAGGCTGAATAAGAATTTGTTCAACGGCGTTTCAAGAAGACTTTCAGTGTTTCAAGAAAGCTTTCAGTGTTTTGAATAGATTTTCAGTGTTTCGAGAAGACTTTCAGTGTTTTGAGAAGGCTTTCAGTGTTTCAAGAAGGTTTTTAGTGTTTCGAGAAGACTTTCAGTGTTTTGAGAAGGCTTTCAGTGTTTCAAGAAGGTTTTTAGTGTTTTGAGAAGGCTTTCTAGAGTGTAGATGTTATAGAGGTGAGGTGTTAATTCAAAAAAAAAAAAAACATTGACAAAGTTTTTTGGATTTCAAAAATATTTGAGAGATTAATTTATAATAAAATCAAACAAAATTATGTCGTTTGATAGTGATGAATTGGTATTAGGAGTATTTATAGATCTTTATAAAGCCTTTGATAGTGATAACCCCAGTATTTTACTAAAATACCGCTAAAATATTAGTTGTAGAAGATAAAACATTTAAGTGGATTTAAAGTTATTTGTCAAAAAGTATTATTTAATACTAACATTGTCAGGGTTTCGAGTTTACGTTCTGAGTTCTTCTGGGTTCAATTCTAGGTCGGTTCTTATTATTAATATAAATAACGATATGCATAATGTTTTTTTAAAAAAATCTAAAGTTACGTATGCTGATGATACAAATTTATTTATTTTATCGTTCTGATGCAAAGACTGTGTCTGAAACTTTGAATATTGAACTTTAAAATCTCTGGTTCACAGAAAATTGTTTACTCTAAATTATAAAAAAACCAGTTTTATTCTTTTTCATAAAACAAAACAATTGATTAATCTACCATTAACGCTGCCCAAACTGCTTATTAATAAAAATGAAAGTTTACGTGAAAGTTATATGAAATATTTGGGTATATTATTTGATAAAGATTTACCATGGCGTAACCATATTGTGCTTTCAAACTTGCTAAAACAAAAATTTCCTCTGTAATAAGTGCTTTGTATAAATTCAGATCATTTCTCGATAATCATGTAATCAACAATTTCCTCAAAAATCCTTTACTTTAGCCACTAAGTCAGCTTTCGTATGCAAATATTGTATGAGTCAGCACTTACAAAACAAAACTACTAAAGTTGCAAAGCCTTCAAAACCATAGATAGTAATAAAAAGCATGATGGTCCCAGATATTGAAATATGATGGTCCTAGATATTGAAAACCTTAATTTGTTACAGATACTATTATTATTATACTATTGTTTTTGAATAAGTATAAGCAAAAGTCACCAATTAATCGGGTTTTTTTTATTCATATTTTCTTGATATTATTTTCTGAAAAATGTAATCTGCGTTCAAATATCTGTTACAACTATTATTAAAGGAAGATAAAACATCAGCAGTAAAATTATCTATTTACAAACTGTGGTCCATGTTTATAAAATCATTTTCAAAATAAAAGTATTAAAGACTTAAAAAGATTTTAATTGTTTAAACGGCAAACTCTATTGTATCTTCCTAATTCCTGACATATATTTTATTAGTTTAAACTAATTCCTGACATATATTTTATTAGTTTAAAATAATTGACAAATAACACAGCATATTTGTATTCAAGTTTTTAAATTTTTTTTTTGCTTTTATTGGTAAACTAAAACAAAATTCTGATTTTGGAGTAAATGATTTTTTTGGGGGCTTTTTTTTAATGTTATCCTCTTTTATTTGATATAACCATCTTGTATTGTTTAATAATATAAAACATTTAAAAATTGCATTTTTCAAGTGTTATTAAAAATCGTTGACCTTAGCAACGCCTTAGCAACAACGCAAAAACCCAAGTTTAAACCCCTTAGTCTATGTAAAATTCGCTTCTTTACATACCACAAAACTTAAATCCAGTATAGATTAAAAACATTCTAATGCCAACTTATAAAAGTTGCAAGACGATTAGCTACTATTGAAATGTCTCTATGATAAGACACAAAATTTTAATAAGTCCTTAAATCTTATCTTATGGTACAGAGTGTTTAGTCATTATTTTAAGTAGAGAAATAGGATATTACTCTGCTGTTATTTATTTTAATGATGGGAGTAAAGGTATTTTGAGTATTTTAAACTTTGACTGGATGTATAACAGTAATAACATCATTCAATCAAATCAGTTTGATAAATCTCAGTTCAATCAAATTCAATCAAATCAGTTTGATAAATCATCAGTAATAACATCATTCAATCAAATCAGTTTGATAAATCTCAGTTCAATCAATTCAATCAAATCAGTTTGATAAATCATCAGTCAAAATCAGTTTGATAAATCTCGTGTAAAGCAAATAAAGCGAAAGTTGATACAAAAGAATATAAAGCAAAGAAAAAAGTTATGATCAGTGTCCAAAGGGTTTAGTTATAAATTAAAGTCAAATTATACTTGTCATATGTTTTTGGTGGATATTAAACAATTTTTACTTGAAAAAAACTTTAAATGAGTTTTTTACAACTTTTGAATTTTGTAATACTAAGGTAACTTTGAAACATAATATCTTTACAATTATATAGCTGTTATTATAGCTTGGGCGAGTGTTCATATAACCAAATTAAAGTTGTTATACCAACGTCACGCCTTAAGACCATATAGACAATTTTACACGCACTGAAAAGAAATGAGAGTGCCTAATATTAATTAAATTAACATATATCAAAATTTATTATTTATGCTAAAATTTAAATTAGGTCAGGTACCAAATAAGTTATTCATTTTATGAATAAGTTTTTAAAAAATAACGTTAATAAATATAACACAAGAGAAGTTGGAAAAATTATCACACCATTCAAAAACTAAACTCTCTCAATTCTCTATTTCAATTCGTGGCCCCTATTTATTTCGTGGCCCTTATTTATTTTGTGGCCCCTATTTATTTCGTGGCCCTTTATTTATTTCTATTTATACAACAAACTAATAGCTAAAAATAAATCAACTTTTTATCTTGATTGAAATTTTTTTTTTTTTTTTTTTTTTTTTTTTTTTTTTTATTACAAAGTGTTACAAAGCCTGATCCTCAGTTTAAAGATTTACTCAGAATTTTTCTAACAGACTTAAAAATAAATTAAATACTCATTAAATAAAAAGTAGTAGACTTCAAAATGTTTATGTGTGTTTTACAAAATCCTTTTTTTCAATTTTAAGTTTTCATTATATTGTAAAGGTTCTCAATAATAAGTCTTCTGCGTGTTTTCCTTCAACTACATAATTTTACTAAATTTTTAATATATATATATATATATATATATATATATATATATATATATATATATATATATATATATATATATATATATATATATAAACTTTTAAATTCATTATTTCAAGTATGTACGCACTAACAGTATTTTTAACTTTCAGTTATTGTAAATATATGCGTTGTAATAACTTTTTTAAGTGATTTTGTGCACCTACATATTGGAGATTGTAAACACTTTTAATTGAATTATACAATAATTGTCTGGAAAAAAAAAAAAAAACATTGGCTAAGGTGTTGTCCATTAATTACGTCAACAAAATAGGGGGAAAGGGGTCTGAACTTTTTTGACAATTGTTGACACGGGGGAGGGGAAGGTCAATTAAAGTTGACGTCAACAATTTTTTTTTTTTTTTTTTGAGTTTTATTGTTTAAATAACGGAAAATTAGGCTGAGTTTGTAGCGTAGTTTCTTTGTATAGAGGGGGGGGGGAGGGTAATCAAAAGTTGACGTAATTTATAAGGAGGCTCTCTGGAAATTTGACAAATTGTTGACATGGGGGAGGGGGAGAGGTAAAATATTTAAAAAATTTGTTGACGTAATTAATGGACAACCCCTAATAATTTTGACTGAAATTTTCAGTGTTTGTTATACTGTTAAAATATTACCCCATATAAAGGGTAACATTGACACACCAACAACAAAATCAATTATTAATCAATAATATTACATGACTGTTTAAATTTTTATCAGTTTATGGCAGTAATATTATTACTGACATATATTTTATTTTATTTTTAAATATTACATATTAAAAATCTTTTATCCCATCAAGATAAAAAATAAACCTTATAAAAATGAAGCAATTGTTTCTAAAAATGAAGCAATTGCTTCTAAAAATGAAGTAATTGCTTCATTTTTAGAAGATTTTTTTTTATTGCAATGTTTTTGCAATTTGCAATGTTTACAACACTTTTCTTTAGTACTGAAAAAAACTGTGGTGTTGCGGTTGCAAAGTTTCTTGTTTTGTTATTACTGGAGTTTTTGTTGAGTGACCGGCGGGAAACTCTTGCAAACAATTAGGCAAGGTATAAAACTAATAAAACTGTGAAGCATGTACTACTAATAGAAACGTTATTCAGTAAAGAAGCATTTTATATTGCATTGAAGCATATTGTATTTAAAAAACAAATTTTTTATGCAGAGAAAAGTTTTATATGTAAATTGCTTCAAAAACCTTTTTAGCTTAAAAGTTTTTTTATAAAATTATTTACACAGGCTAAATATTTTAGTGAATCTGTACCCTTCATTGTACTTAGGTATAAGTTTTACTTTAGTTTAAATTTTGCGTTAGCATAAATTTTATTTTAATATAAATTTTACTTTATATACTCTTGTAATTTAATAAAAAAACTTGATATTTGGTATAAAAGAATTAACTTTATAAAAATATTCAAGTATTCCTTATTTTAAGGTTTAAAATGTTTTTCATTATCATTTCTGCACCTTTTCATTGTTATATATTATTATATTCATTGTTATATTCATTATCTATATAATATATACAAGTTTTTAAATATTTATTATCACACTATATTTATTTTAAATTATATTAGAATTAAGTTATTTTTTATATATTTGTAGTTAACTATATTTTTTATCAAATAACATTTTTGTAAATATATCTTTATCAAACTATGTTGTTATAAATGTATGTTTAACATTTTTTTTCAAAATTAATCAAGCAAAACACATCCTCTTCAAAATATTGCTTTACATAAGATGTGATACGCTTGATTGATTTTGAAAATAATTTTTATCATTTTAACTTATATTTTATCATTGTAACTTTATTTGCTTTTTATAAACCCTTAAAAAATTTGTATTATTGAAAAAGTTGTGTGTAGTAAAAAAATTGTTTAAGTTTCTCTTTTGGGTGATGCATATATATTTATGATTTAGTTTTAAAATAGCCTTTTTTAAAGGCTTTTTTCATGAAGCTGGAATGGATGCTCTAGGTTTTTCAGATTTTTTTTTTAAATTTTAAAATACTTTTTTAAGAACTTGATGAAATTTTTATGTTTTTTTAAGTTTAATTTTTTCAATTTACTGTCTTGTTTTTTCATCTATTTTACATATATATAGAAAATATATATATCTTCTATTGTTTCATTTTAATACCTTAATTTGCTATGTTTTCATTTCTTATGTAGTACTTTTTTTTAAAAACAGAAATAATTTTTATTTTATGAATTCTTAAATTTTTATTTTTAATAGGTTTAATTTTAAAATGTCATCAGAGGTTCAGAAAAGAAAACTACCATCTTCTGATAATTTAAATAACGGGGATGTCAGCAAAAAGTTAAAATGCGAAGATTCTAAATGTTCTGGTGTACTTTTGTTTTCTGGACTGAGCGATTATGAATTAAGAAATGATAAAGATCTTATGAAAAGTGATGCTTTAAAGTGGTCTCCTCATAGATACCAGACATTAGATGGAATCAAGATTCATACTGTTTCTTCAGGTTCTGTATCATATTTTTTTTATGCTGTAAGTGATGAAGGCAGAGTATATTCATGTGGTTTAAATGCAAAAGGTCAACTTGGTCACGATGATTTAAAAAATCGCCGAAATCCATGTCTGATTGAATCATTAAAGGACCATCAGATTGAAACTGTTGCAACTGGAAGACAACATGGTTTGTTTTTGACTAAAGAAGGTATAGTTTTTTCATGTGGTGATAATAAAAATGGACAATGTGGAATTGGTAATAAAAAAGAGGTGGTTACAGTTCCAACCCCTATCAACTATACTGGTCCTCCCATTGTTCAAATAGCCTGTGGTGGAGAGTTCAGCTTAATACTTAATGAGGATGGTGTAGTTTTCTCATTTGGTCTTCCGGAGTATGGACAGCTCGGTTTAGGTTCTGAAAATAAGGAAATAAGTGCTAGGAAAGAAGTTTTTCATTGTGAATATTCTCCTGTTCCCTTGACTTCTTTTGTTGAGATAGATCCAGATGAAGGCGGAACAATTTTTCTTGGTAAACCAAAAATAACTAAAATAGCTTGTGGTGTAAATCATTGCTGTGCTATTGATGACAAACAGCGTTTATTTACCTGGGGGTTTGGTGGATATGGAAGATTAGGCCATAATGACACCAAAAATGAACTTGTTCCAAGACTCATGAAGTGTTGGTATCGTATTACTGGCAGAGCTGATGGTGGAATAACAAATGTTTTTTGTGGACAGCAGTTTACTATTGTCCAAACTATTGTTCCAAAATGTGCTCTTCTTTTTGGTCAGCAAGCCACTAATAAAGAGGCAAACATGTATCCAAAGTTTATTGACGATCTAAATGGATGGGATGTAAAGCATATTTCTTGTAATCAATCTGGCTATATAGTGTGTGCAGATGATAAAGTTATTGCATCACAACCTAGCCCGTGCTATGGAACATTAGCCATGGGACCAACAGTTAAATCATCTGCAGCACCAAAAATAATTACCACATTAAAAGATGTTGTATGTTTTCAGACTGGTGTTGGATACATGCATTCCTTATACTTAGTTCGTTGCGAGAAAGAAAGCGATTTAAAAGCAATTGAAAACTTTCCTCTAGTAGAATTTGAAGATTCTAATGAAGCAAAAAATATGCCAGATAAATCAAAACCAGAAAAGAAAAAAACTGCAGCTAAGAAAAAACCAGCTGCAAAAGTAAAGAAAGGCAAAAAATAAAAATTTTGTTCTTTTTTTTTATTATGTATTTATAAACATTTTTGTTTTAAAACTTTTTATGACTAAAAAAAAATTAATCATATTTATATAAAGCATACTTTAAATATTTTATAAAAATTTTATTATATTTAGTAATCAGAAAATAAAAGTACTTTTAAAATCAATATTAGAAATCAAGCTGAATAAATAGCTAGGGTGAGATGATTTTAAATTTAAGATTATTTTATAAATTTTCTACTTTTTATTCAAATAAGAAATTAATTTATGATCAAAAACTTAAAAAATCTAACAAACGCATTATCTAAATTAGTCTGTAAAACAAACGCATCATAAGCGTGTAAAATGTTTCAAGTTAATATTTTCATGAATCTATAAGTGATTCCTTGTTTCGAGGGGAAAAAAACATAATTTATATAGTTAAAGTATTTCTCTACCATTAAAATAAAATATTGAATTAACTGATTTTAAATAAAAAATTTATTTTGTGCATTGTTATTATAAATAATTGAGTGTTAAAAAAAGTTAAAAAAATTATCGAATTCATTGCGCTTGCGCCTACTTTATGAGTAAAATGGGCAAAAAAGTACCGGATCTGTATCCTAAGATACGCCGCAAATAATAAAACTTTCGAACTGAAATTTTCAGTAAAATAAAAAAACAATTTGAATCTAAAACCAAAGTTGGATATTAATTCTACTCTTAGTTTTAATGCATCTATGAAAACATTTTTTTTTTTTTTTTTTTTCTTTTGCCCCAAAATTGATCTGAAAAAGAGCTTCTAGTAGATGTAAATGATTGAGGTTCAAATTGTAGTCATACCCATTTTTAAACTTTTTTTCGAATTTCGAAGTATTTTGTCAACAAAATCTCAAAAATTTTGGGAAACCGCAATTGCTATAAGTGGCCAGCCGATAACTTCCCAACATGTGATATAGTGACTAGTCATCGGCTAGCCTTTTTGGCTGCTGCGACTAATGGCCCACTATCATGATTGTCTATACTAACAGACCTCGTAAACGCGTAAATCGAAGCCTGGGGTTGAGGGCCAATAAAAAACAACTAAGAAAAAGTTGAGCGTAGCATGAACATTAGCTTTTAAAAAAGTGTTTCCGTTTAGTGTGAGAGAACTACAGCTTAGCTATTTATCTTTATAATTAAAAACTTTTTTTTTCATAACAAGCTTCCTACGAAGATAAAAAAACATCCCTTAGTTATAAGACTTTGTCTATAAAGATAAAACTTTCCTAAGCTATAAGATGCAAAATCTTTCACAAAATCACAGTATATGCTGAAGTTTTAAAAAAAATCATGAATTGAACATATTTAAATATGTATATATACTAAATTTAGTAGCAACAATATTTGTAACAAAGTTTTTGAAATATTTCAGACAGATTAAAATTCTTAATTTTTTACCAAAATCACTAAACAAACAGAAAATTTAAGTAACTTAGAGTTGTAGAGTTTTCATAAGTAAAAAAACACACGCACAATAGGTTTATACTCTTTTCTAGCTCAGGCAAATTGTCAAATATATCCATAGCATTACTGCTAAGAAAATATTATGTCCACTTTCTGCAGATAAAAAATCAATGTCTGATCAAAATCAATACTGATATTGAGACTTTTGCTCGTTGAATTCTTACTTTTTACTTGTTGCACATTAGTTAAAACATGTACCTCCAGAACCTTGTCGGAGTTTTCCATACATTTTTCTCATGGGTAAGTTTTAAATTTTTCCAGTATTACATAATTAAAAGAATTCTGCAATATAAAACTTTGTAAGGGCTACTAATCCACGACACGTATGAGCTAAGGCTGCACCTGTATCTCTGGTGAACTGATATTGTCTGCTGGCTTGTTTGCCCTTTGTTAGTCATTTGTTAAGCCATTGTTTGTTAGTCATTTGTTAAGCCATTGTTGCAAGAACGAGTAAAAATGATACTCTGAAGTTGATTCTGCTCTCGATCTCGATCTCTATCTCGATCTTTATATCGAATATCAGTATACAGTCCTTTTGTATTAACTGCTCTATCTCGATCTTTATATCGAATATCAGTATACAGTCCTTTTGTATTAACAACTTTCCAGAGCTTAACAAATATTTCAATAAAAATTATGGTGTTATCTACTTCTTTTATGTTAATGTTATGAAATAAGTTTTGAATTAATTATTTTTTATTTATTTTTTTTTCTTTCTTTTAACTTTACTTTATCTTCTTTTTTATTATTTTCTGGTTTTTATTTTATATATTTATATTTTATTATTCATCTTTTTCATCTTTGCGAAGAAGCCACCTGGCTTGCTTTTTTCTGCTTTTGTTATTATTAACTTAATCAGTGTAAAAAATAACTCTTAATCCTATTAATAATTATAGATTAACAATCAATATAATTAGTTTAACAAATAGTTCTTTTTATAACTTTATTTCAAATCAGCTTTTATATTTAATTTTGTTTAGTTTTGTTTATTGTATACCTTGAGGTTTTTTCTTTTTTTTTTACTGACTTTTGTTGAATTGTGTCATATTTTTATTTATTTATTTTTTTTAATTTTATTTTTTGGCTTTTGATAATTAAACATAAGTATATTTCAATTTTTAACGGTATTATAAAATATTTATCTTATAAAACAACTGTTTATAATGTAAAAATACGATGTAAATTACGGGGCTTAATGATAAGACTGTTTTTTTCTTCTTTTTGCCCCAGCCATGTGAATATTTATTTATACATTTTGATATTGTAGCAATATTTAAACAGCGAAATATATACATATAAAAAAAAGTTAGACTTTAAAGCAGTTACAGTTTCATCACAAAAGACTTGTAGGCAAGTACACACCTTTTGTCTTTCAATAGGTTTTGGTGCAACAAACACACTTGTAAGTTAAGACAATTTTTCAATACTATTTTCTTCGATATTCTTAATGTATATATTTATATTTTTCAATATTTGCATATATTTATATTTTTAATTATATAAGCTGAGACTCTTATATCTAAGATTAAAATACATACTTTTGTCATTTTCTTTGAGAACTCCATCATTGTAGCTTGACGCGCAGGTATTTTCATTAATGCTTGCATGCTTTGCATTACTTCTGTACTTTTAGAAAGTGAACCAGAAACACTCAGCATAGCTAAATTATCATGAGCTCTACAAAAATTTTGACTAAGATTTTAAACGATATAAATGGTAGTATTGATTTGTTTGCTACGCTTATAAAAATGAATGCTATATTTATTTAAAACACAAGTATATATTTTCTAAGAAGAACTTATAAAAAAGTTCAGAATCTTCCCTTAATCTTCAATAAAATGATCTTGAAATTGCAAAGTATTCAAATGTCCGTACAATAGTTTCTGTGATGTATTTTTTTTTTCCAACTGTAATAGAACTCATATCACGGATGTGTTGCAAAAGATTTTCTATTTTATTAGATTTTGTTAAGTTATTTTTAAAATTAAGAGCTTTTTGTAATTTTGAACAAGAATCGATTATGAAAATCCTGTTTTTAGATAGAGATTCAATTTTATGTTTAATCCCACAAAAGTATCCCTCAAAAGTAAAATCATTCTTGATTTTAAGCATAAATTTGGCAATTTTCTTCAAAATCTGTTAACTGGATGATCAGCAACTGTTTACCAGCTAAATACCAAGTTACATTAACTGTACCAAAATTAATTTCTTTGTTTTGTAACTTCTGTTGTAATGAGCTAATAGATATAATTTTATCAGCAGCTAAAAATGTATCAAGTTTGTTGAGCATAATGTTACGGACAGATGAAGATGCTGTAAAAGTTACGGACAAATGAACTTTAAAAGTTGTCCTTAATGGATGTGGAAGAGTAGGTATTAAACTAGGTTTGATACATGTAAAAACTGATCAAGAATCACGAGGCCTTTTATTGCCAAATTTAGTATATCTGGACTGACTACAAATACTACACCAGACCACACCAGACCACACCTGACTAACACCGGACCACACCGGAGTATAAAAAACAATTTTGGTAAAGCTAAAAAAATTTGAATTAAAATAGCAACAGGAACTGTGATTCATGCTTCGACTGACTAAAATAGGGACAGGCGCAGTAGAGTATGCATACATCGACCGAGTAAAATTGGGACAGGCGCAGTGGAGTGTCCATACACCGACTGACTAAAATAGTTACAGGCACAGTGGAGTGTACATGCAGGTGCAAAGGGTTTTTTGTTAGGGCAAGCAGTCTAAAAGAATCACTTATTAATCTTGTAAAAAAGCCTATAACTCTTGCTTAAATCAAAACACATATTTAAATACGTGTGGGAATTTTATCGCATTCGTGTATTTCATTCAAGCGCGCGCACTCCTATCACATATATATGTTCTTTTTTTTGAAAAAATAATTAATTTTCATAAATATTTATTAAAATTAATTTTTTTTTCAAAAAAATTAAAAACCATTAATATGTGATAGGAGTGCGCGCGCGTGAATGAAATATTCGAATGCGATAAAATTGCCACTAAAATACATATTTTTACTTGTGGGTGCACAATTAAAATTGCTATAAAAAATTAAATTATTCAAAATTTTTTTTTTGTATAAATTTTTATTGCATTTATATATTGCAAATGTAGCTTATGCATTTTTTGCTCTACTTTGATTGTTTTTTACACTCCGGTGTTGTCCGGTGTGGTCCGGTGCAGTATTCGTATACACCCACGAGTATATTCTTCTTTTTTATTAGGAAGCCGGAAAACTTTTTCTTTATTTTCCTTATTGCAATAATTAAACAAAATAATTTTAGAATATTATCGGCCCCCAGCCCCAGGCCTCTTTATACGCGTGTACGAGGCCTGTTAGTAAAGACGGCTATGTCCACTATATAACCAATGAGCAAAACTAAAGTGAACCGCTCAAAATGTTTATATGAAATGTCCAAATTTCGCTATAAAATGTTTGCTGTGTTATTTTAGCTTTAATGCAAAGACATTTTTTTAAAAAAGGTTTTTACTTTTTTACCTTGTAACAATACCAGAAAATTCCCATTCATAACATTATTTTTATCTAATAGTTGTTATGTATAGTTTGCAAAAAATTCAATGTTCTGCTAGTAGTAATGAGTTAACTACAAACACTAAAATGGTGAAAGAAACAAAGCAAAAAGGGGTTCAGCTTTAGAAAGTTAAGTTCATTTAGTTGTGTTTCTGAAACAAAAAAAAATTTTGTAAATATACGGGAGCCATTTTGAAAATATACGGGAGCCATTTTGAAAATATACGGGAGCCATAAGGCATTTTTTTTTTTAATTTTGTTTTGCCGTTTCATATATCAATAAAGACGTATTAGATTTATAAATATTGGCCGGAGCAAGAAGAAGACATTGAATGTCTTATCACCCCGTTGACGATTAACACCATTGTTTGCGGAAAAAGCGCTCTCAATAATAACTATTGTAAATTACATTTTATCTACGTTTTTAATAAAACTTCAATATATTTTATGATGTAACAGAAATTTTATTTAAATTTTGAATTTGTATAAAACCCAAAACGGGAAATATTTTCATTTTTATTTTTGGCCTACTTTTGGCTCCAGCCATTTATATATTATTTCTATTTTTGTACCTAGTAAACATTTTTTAATGGCAAAATAAATTTAACGGAAAAAAAAGTTTTAAAAAAAAGGATACTATTTTTTCCATTCATAAGTACCAACAAATTAGTGAGCTGATATCTTACCACAAAGTTAAAAATTATTATGTTAATTCAATTGAATCATGATACAGCTGTATCATCATTCGTCAGAGTTAAGTTCAGGGTTATGTTAAGCATTAGGGTAGATGTTTCTTTACAGAAACGTCTACAAAAGGCTTATAAAAAATCTCATTGATCATACATTTTTTTGGTCAAATTTACAAAGTAAACAAGAAATTATGATTATTCATTTAGTACTGTTCTTACATATGGATCAACGGGAGGAGGAGGGGTCACAAGGATGCAACGGATCAGAGCGATATAAGTAGAAATTTATAAACTAGGATTAAATTTATGAAAGTTTCTTTAAAAGTCTGCTGTAGATAAAAGTTTCTATTGCATAAATAGACATTAACTAGAAAAATGTTACAACATTTTATAATAGATGTTTACTGTGGCAATTATAATTGTGGTATTATAACTATCGCCTTATCAAACTAGTTTTTAACAAAGACTATGAATTTGATAACTAAAAAGTTGAGAGTTTCAAATAAAAATTGAAATGTTTAAACATTACCTAAGTGTTCTGTAGACACTTACCTAAGTGTCTATATATTGATATTGAAAACTATTATACTCCGTACTTTGAATGAAAAGAAATAACAAGGAGCATCTTTGTTTTGAAACTACAACTTTAAATCCTTTTTTTAACTTTTTGTTATTCATATTTTCTATCTAGTTATTGTAACGTTATTTAAAGCATTGATTTTTTTTTGACGATTAACCTTTTTATTTTTTTGTGCTTATTAAGCTGCCCCCAGATGTCCATACTGTCTTATCACAGAGCACCGCGGAAGAGCATTTCAACAGAAGCATGGTGCAGTTTGGAAGAAGTATATTCATTTACCAATTTTAAACTGATTTCAACCGGCTTTCAATTTAATTTTATTATGTTTAAAACAACTAACGATACTTTACAAGAGATGACATGTTTCTGATGCCAGTGGTGAAATTTTATATGTATATGAACAGTGGGCCAGAATAGCCAATTCTGAGACAAAATTACTAACTAATTTAACATTAGTATTGTATTTACGAAATTTAACAAGAGTACTAAAATGTGGTCTGCGCTCCTTATTAAAGTGATAATTTTTATATTTAATTGCCACGGATACCTAATTTTGCATAGTAACAACCTGTTTCTGGTAATTAGAGATTTTTCATGAAATTTTGTGGAGTTATTTTTTTCATCAATTAACATCATTTAAACACCTAGCCAATTAACTTTTCATTTTTTTTTCTGAACTGGTTTAATGTACAGCGACCTCTACCTGCCATGAAAGAATTCTACTTTCCATACATAATGTTTGGATGCATTTTTAGCAATCTTTTTTTTAGTATTTAATGATGGATAAAATTGAACAATTTCTTGTAATGCCGTTCAATCTTAAATAAAGATTTATAAACAAAATAAATAAATAATATAATATAATATTTGATTTAAATATATAATACTACTGATATGTTATATTGGCTCATGTCTTATGTTATATTTGTATCGAACATTTTCCTTTTAAAAAATATAAAACTGCAAGACATTTTAAATTTTTAAATAGTAACTTTAATATTTTAGCAAAAAGTAAGTGTAAAAGTTTTTTTTATTATTATTTTTAAGTATCAATTTTATTATTATTTTTAAGTATCAATTTTATTATTATTTTTAAGTATCAATTAGAAACCAATTATGTAATCCTTGGTAATATAAGACATCAATACAGCAACCGTTGTTAATAAAAGAGATCAATACCATAATCCTTGATAACATAAGAAACCAAATTTATCAAAAAAAGTATAAAAACATCTATACAAATATTATATATATATATATATATATATATATATATATATATATATATATATATATATATATATATATATATATATATATATATATATATATATATATATATATATATATATATATATATATATATACATATATATATATATATATATATATATATATATATATATATATATATATATATATATATATATATATATATATATATATATATATATTATATATTCTGAAAATATTTTCAAAATTATTAAAAAACAGTATAGAAACAGTATAGAATTTTAAAATGCCAAAAAACTCGTCACTATGCTGTTTCCTGCGTTATAATCGTTTATCAAACTTTGATGTAGAACGTATTGCTTCATATGACAAAGACCATTTTCAGAACACATATATAATATCAGCTCAACCTAAAACAAAGTATCAATAATGTTTAAAAAAAAAAGCATAAATGTATAAAAATCTTTATTAAAAACAATAGATACAAGAAGTAAACAAACCTTTATTAGAACGAAAGAAAAACCAGGAGGGATTGTCAGACTTATTTCGTCTTTATTCAAAGTCCCTGTTTTGACGTCTATTACTAATAATTTATTTTTTTATAAAGAGATGAGAAAATTTCATTTAGAATAACAAAAAAATTTATTCCTATGAAAAAAAAAAATAAATATAAATACAAAATAAAAAAACACACAACCTGCTTCCGACGATAAAGTAAGCTGCCATTTACTATCAACTTCGTCAGTATAATGAAAACCCGTCGGAAGACTAACATGTAAAAAGAAAGTTGAATGGCTGCTTAGATTACATTTTTTGTGATCCAATACTGTGACAGAAGTATTAGCACCAACCAACAATTTTTCCGACGTCTTAGATACAGCAACAGGAAAACCATCAAAGTTATCCGTTTCCAAAATTTCAAGCTAAAATTAAATTTTTTTTTAAGACAAAGATCCAATTTTTAAAATTTTTGATATAAAAAAGACACTATTATGATTTAGATTTATTACAAAAACTTACCATGGAAACTTACCATGGAAACTTACCATGGAAACTTACCATGGAAACTTACCATGGAATATCGACAAATTATGAGATTATGAAACCAAATTAATTACACTTACCGTCGATACTAATCTAGTTGTGAGGTTTAATACTCGAATCAAATGATTATTAGTATCAGCAATATAAATTGTATCATCGAGACAAATTATACCACCTGGCTCATTGAATTCGGCCGATAAAAAATCTCCATTCTTAATGCCTACAACACCATTGCCAGCCAATGTGGTACACGAGAGATTACTCATATTAACAACTTTAATCTAGAACACAAGAACGTAATTGTATTTTACTGATAGATATGTCATTATACTAATTATATATATATATATATATATATATATATATATATATATATATATATATATATATATATATATATATATATATATATATATATATATATATATATATATATATATATCAAGGAGTCTATTTATTTACGATTTACGCGAGAATATAATATCAAAAATGTTTAACCACAAAGTAGAACAACTGAATACCAAAATGTCTAATATACAAGAAAATAACTGTAAAAAAATGTGGAATTTTTATCCAAGAACTATAAAAACCTGACGAAGATTCCATAACTCTACCAATTAAAAAATAGAAAAAGAAAAAGAAAAAAGAAGAAAAATGATTTATTTAAAAAACTATGGACATGAACATATATATTCACTGGAATCACCTTTTTATAACTTACTAAAAAAATTCAATCATTAGATTATTACAAGCACCCCAACACCATAAACACCATAAATACCCAAAATAAGTTTAATATTAAAAAAGTTTCAAATCTCAGCGTTATTATTTTGATAAATATGATATTATTTACTGTTAGATTGAATTATGTTATTAATAGTTGATGCCACAAAAAACAATAAAAAAAAAATTTTTTTAAACATTTTTTATACTGCAACTTAAATTCTACTTGAAAAAGCATCAACATTATTCAAATTTATGTAGAATTATTCAAATTTATGTCAACATTATTCAAACTTATGTCAACATATTTATAGAGAGGTAGCTGTTGTGAAAATATCTTTTCAAAAAGCTTAAAATAATTAAGACACACACATGTTTTGAAAGCAGCAAAAAAATTTGGGCACACAAAGATACATGAATTATCATCAGTATATAGTAATAAAAACATAAAGGCACTAAAAATGTAATTAAAACCACAAAACTTAGTTTGAAGATAAATGCAAACAAAGTAGCAGGCATAAAACGTTAGTAGAGCGTGTAACATAAATTATATGTAACAAAAAATTGCATTATATATAGATTATAAATAGGTAAATAATTAAGTACATACAAAAATATAAATAAGAAAATAACAATTGCTATTTGAAAATAAATTTTCAAATAAAAATTATATTCAATAAAAACTTACAACATACAATCATAACAAAGAACCTAAAATTTTTTTCATGTTTCATTCACCTGCTGTGAATGAAACATGAAAAAAATTATCAAAATAATGTTTTAATAACATTATAGCCATAAAGTATACCTTGTGGTTGTAAGAGTCTGCAACATACAAATGCCCATTAACAGCTGCTACATCAAGCGGGTGTTGAAGCTTTGCATTTAAACCTATTCCATCAACATCACCATATGAAAATAAGTTCTAAAAATATTTATTCATTCAAAGCATTCATTCATTTAACCAAGGAAGACTTTTAACTAAGTATTGTGGAAAATATATTGCTACATACTCTTTAAGACTACTATCAATAAATACATAATAATAATAAATAAATAATAAGAAGAAAATTTTTATAATCTTTTAAAGATAAAGAAGAATATTTTTATAACTAATGTCAATAGAAATGGTCATCTTTACTAAACTAAATAATAGTACAAAGGCAGAGTATAAGTGATTTAAATATATTTAATGAATATTTAAAAAAAAATTATTATTTTTAAACAACAAATGTTTTTTTTACTATTATGTCTTTTTTTTTGTTTGAAAAAAATTTTTTTTTTTCGCTATTTAAATTATGTAAAACTTTTTTTTTAATTCTGATTCATTTTCAACAAGGCTGCAAGTAACCAATGTTAAGTTATGAGTTACTAGAAAACAAAGAACAGAGTTAAAGAGCAAAGAAATGGTAACAGAAGACTTGAAAAGTTGTAGGTTGTATGAGTCAGAAAATAGAAATGAAAATAGTAGAGAATTCCAAAAGGTTGAAGTTAGGGGAAAAAAATTAGACAAATAAATGTTTTTAGAGCATTCAGGGACAGATTCAGTAAAAGATTACAACTTTACTGAATGACGAGTAAAGCGAGAATGAGTTTTGGTTAATGGAACTAGAGATGATTGATAATACAATACTAAAAACTAGAGACGATTAATGTGAACTATAGATGATTGATAATACAATGCTAAAAAAGGAAAAAGTTACAAAACTTTTCAGAGTTCTTGTAGACAAAAACTTATCCTGGAAACAACAAATCGATAATATCTTCTTGAAAGTTGCTAAAATATTGGAATTCTATATAAAGCTCAACATATTTTAAATAAACAACAATTAAAACAACTATATTATTCATTTATTCACTGCCATTTAAATTATGTAAATATTGTATGGGGAAGCACGCACAAAACTAAACTTAAATCTCTTAATCAGCATCAGAAACACGCAGCTTGCTTAATTAATTTTGTAAATCATTTTTCAAATTCAAAACTACTTCTGAGAGAAATGAAAGCCTTAAATGTATACGAACTAAATGTTTATAATATTTTATGTTTCATGTTTAAATGTAAAAATTTTGATGTATTTATAAACCTTTCACCTGATGTATTTATAAACCTTTATAATGTAAAACCCATAAATAAATCTTCGCAATGGAAAAAATCTACAAGAACCTTTTTGCCAAACTAAATTTGAACAACTAATTATTTCTTCTTATTTATGGAATAAAATATGTTATGGAATAAAATAGTTATGCCAAATTTTGATTTGTCATTGAAATGGACTTTAACTTCTTTCAAAGGAAAATTAAAAGAAGTTATCTTTTCAGCAGAAAATATTTTTTCTTATTTTTAGTTTTTTTGTTTCATATATTTCATATAATTTATCCAGTATATTTATATTTTAAATGCACAGTTATATATAGTTTATGTTGATTTACTTTTATTGATTAATTTGATTTTATTGTTATTATTATTATATTTGCTATTGTAAAGGGCTTCATGATAAGATAGTATGATCTTCTGGAAGTCCTGCCGATTATATTTGTAATAAAGCTATTCTGTAATTTTAATTTCTTTTATTGAAGGCAAATAAATTTACAAAAAAAAAAAAAAAAGATGATAGCTCCTTTGAGCAGTGACCATGATAGTATTTGTAGAGAGAAAAAGCTGCAACTTTAGAACCTTAAGAGAGACACAAGAGTTTAACAGATAGAGTGGTCCAACTATGTTTACAACGCATTTTTGGACCTTGCCTAAAAGAGAAATAAAATCATTAGAACAAGCAGTCCAAATAAGACAACAGTAGTCTATACAGGGGTGAATAAGAGATTTGTGGAGATAGAGAATGGAATCAGGAGTAAGAAAGTGGCGAGCACATTAAAAAGAAGCAATCTTAGTAGATGCTAATTTAGCTATCAATTGTATATATGGTTTCCATGAGAGATCAGCAGTGAAATCTATGAAGACATAAAGAAGACTCAGTGAGAAGCCCCAATCTGTTATATTTGTAGGATCAAATTCAAGATGGCTGCAAACAATCAAAAAGAGCAGATTTTTTGTCAAAACTTTAAAGTTGAGTCATCAGTGAATAAAGCCACTTTAGATGTAAGATTGTCACCAAGATTATCAATATAGATAAGAAACAAAACAGGATCAAGAATATAACCTTGAGGTACCCCAGAAGTTACTAGAAATGAAGAAGAGGGTTGGCCTTCAGGGATGACTTTGAAATGTGGTTAGAAAGAAAAGATTTGATAATCTGAAAAACTTTCCTACACCATAGATACACCATAAGAAGCAAGCTAACGGAAAAGACCAGCATGCCAATTTTTGTCTATTTTAGATATGTAAAGAACAATAGCTAAAACCTTTCTGCCTCCATCTAGTGCACATTAAAGTCTTTCAGTCACAGCAGCTAACAACTGTATTGTTTGTCTGACAGCAAGTTATTTGACTTTGGGGTGTGAGAAAATTATTGACTTAAAGACTTTGCTAATAACAAATCAAATCAGGAGATATCAGAATGTTCTCCGGAGAGGGATAAAAATGTTTGGAGGGATCAGATTGTTCTCCAGAGAGGGATCAGAATGTTTGGAGGGATTAGAATGTTCTCCAAAGAGGGATCAGAATGTTTGGAGGGATTAGAATGTTCTCCAAAGAGGGATCAGAATGTTTAGAGGGATCATAATGTTCTCCAGAGGGGGATCAGAATGGTCTCCAGAGTTTTTAAAAATTGGATTCGCAGATGTTATTTTCAAGCAGGCAGGAAAATAAGACTTGCCACAAGCCGTAGAAGAGTTTAATCGAGATTTAACTTAAGCAATGGAAACTGGAGTGATTTGAATGTTTAACAATGGGTTAACCTGTTTAATTATAATGGAAGGAAGAGAATGGCCATAAGATTTGAGAGTCGAATTAGAAAAAATGTTCTTTGCAAATAGTTTTGCCTTATACTTGGGAGAGGTAATAAGATCAGTCAAATGAATAAAAAATGGAATGTTAGACATTTATTAACAACGCTGTTGAAGATTTTCCAAAAGTCTCTAGAGCCTAACTTTTGAAATAAGATGCAAAATTTAGTGAATGGAGCATCTGACAACACCTTTTTACATTGAATTCTTGCAATAAAAAATAGGTATTTATTCTCATGAGTTGTTCTTTTGGAAAAGATAAAAAAAATGATTATGATTAAAACCATGAAGTAGAATGAGGTTTGACTTGGAACCAAAAAAAAAAATAAAAGCATCCATTCCTGCCTGAATCCAGGAGGTTTCATAGGAGGCACATTTTTCAGCTATGAGGGAAAAGACATCAGCCCAAGTATTGTCACAAAGAAAATCACAAAAAGAATCCCAGTCAGCTTTAGGGAAGTAGTAAGTAGTGCGATGATAGGGAGAGTCCAAAAAGGAAGCATGAACTGAAAGATTTAGAGATCATAGCATGGTTAGAACCACCTAAAGGAGAAAAAATAGAAATTGAACACAAACTAGAATCAGAGATCAGACATAAATCAAGGAGTGAAGGTAAATGATTAGGGTTGTCTGGAAAACAAATCACAAAATTAACTATCTGAATAAGAGATTGAGAAATGCAGAAGTTATAAGCCTTAGTGCCATCAGGATTAGTGGCGTTAGAGCCAAACCATTTAGTGTGATGAGCATAAAAGTCACCAACAACAACAATATTGGCAGAGAGGGTAAAGAGAGAGGGCATGGTCAATTTGATCAGAAACTACATCTATAAGAGTGAAGTCTTAAGATAACGATAAAGAACAAAGAGAAAGGTGATAGAATGAAGTGGTGTTAAGGAAAAGTACATAAAAAATGGTCAAAGGGTTCGAACCTGATTTCACAACAAATAGGTGAATTGATGCGTATGTATACCCCCAAGCTAAGCATTGGAGTCTTTGCAAATCAAAGAATAGTAATACCCATCAACACTGAGATCAGAAAGAATAGAAGAATATAAATTAGTCTCACTAAGAGCAAACAAGTCTGGTAAAATTTGCTAGATGTAAGAAAATTAAAATGACTGACAAAATAAAAAAAAAAAGTTATGTGGAAAAATGTAGAAAAAATGTAAATTTTAAATATTGAATATGTAAGTAATGAAAATTTTTAGTAAACTTCAATGAAATTTACAAAAGCATGTTTGCAGAGATATTTCAGTAAAGCTGGGATAAATTACTTCAAAATAAAAAATGCAAAGTTTAAGAGCAACTTAAATCAGAAAAAATTGATTTTAGATGAATCAAATGGAAATATTAAAATGTGGTTAAATCTGCATTTTAAAGTTATTTTAGTGTAACACAGTGTTCTTGTGTAACATTTGGTATAACACAGTGTTTATGTGTAATATTTGGTGTGGCATAGTACTCTTTTGTAACATTCCGTGTAATACTGTGTTCTTGTGTTTAACACAGTTGTTTTGATGTAACAGTGTAGCAGTATTTAAAATAGCCACAATTATGACTGGTGAAATAATATAAAAAGAAAAACATTTTTCTTTTTTTGTCCAGATACTAGATAAAACAGAGATAAAAACAGCTGCTGATTTCTTGTTAACTAATCAAAAAATTTACAGAGAATTAACATAGAGATGATATGAGCTTAAGGATAAATTAAATCATAAAATTAGTTCAAGAAGAAAAATCTTAAAACAATCTTTAAAAAAATCAACCAATCAATCTTTAAAAAAATCAACCAATCAATCTTTAAAAAAATCAACCAATCAATCTTTAAAAAAATCAACCAATCAATCTTTAAAAAATCAACCAATCAATCTTTAAAAAAATCAACCGATCAATCTTTAAAAAATCTTCTTGGGAAAAATGAAGGAAAAGAAATTTTTGAATAAACCAACTACACCTAAAATATCAATCAATCCTTGAAAAAACCAGTCACACCCTAAATATCAATCAACCCTTGAAAAAACCAATCTAACCCTAGATGCTGCTAAAAGATTTATATTTTTATATCAACCTTAAATACTGTCATTCAAAAATATGATTAAAAAAATTTGCAAATGCATTGTCCATTCATGATCACTCATTCACCTAACTATATTATTTAATTTGATCTAAACAGGTTTTTTCTTTTCACATTCTACGTGAAGCTTTTTCTCTTACACACAAAACAAAATATAGTAACAAAATCAGAAGCATTAAAAAAAAATAAAAGACAAAAACCCAACTCTACCCAGGGGCAGATCTAGGGTGTCGCCACTGATGATATGCGAGCATCAGTTTTTTTGCATCATTAAATTTAAGTGTATCTCTTTTTCACTTTTTTTCTAAATAAAAAGTTAAAGTAGAAATTAAAATCTGATATTCAACGAAATTGAAACATTATTTAATATAAACTCAAAAATAATTATTTAATATAAACTTGATTTTATTTGATCTCTATAGTTACTTATTTGATCTCTATAGTTACTTATTGGTTAATTTTCACAAATTTTTCTGATCAATTTGTAGAAAGTGCAAAATTTGTCATATTTGTACTCTAAATCATAAATGATTGGTTGAAAAATTTATTAAAATAACAATTTTTTTAAATTTTTTATTTAGGTGTCCTGAGAAGACTTTACAGATCACAGACCTAGATGAGCATTAAATTGGAATTTTATGCCTCCTTCCTAGCCAATGTTGCAAAACTTGCCAGGGGTGGGGTTTGAACCACATACCCTTTGTTTCTGAGGCAAATGCACTACTACTGCGCTACAGCTGATACAAACCTTCCGGAAAAAAATACAAAAATGTTTCAAAAAAGATAGAGAATGTGTTTTTTTATAACTAATCAATTTTGTAAAGTTTAGAACAACTGTTTTAGTTGCTCCAAATCATTCAATATTTACAAAAATTCTGATATGCCACTTATTATACATCACTTGATGTTGTAAGACTTTGTATAAAACACTTGTGGTTGTAGGGCTTTGCTAGTACATTAAAGTTTTAAAAGGAAAATAAATTTTTTAGTCTCAAACGCAATTAAGGCTAGGCATTTGCTAAATATTCACAAATACAAAAATCAGTTAAATGAAGAGTTGAAAATATTAAATAACAAGTGTCCATTGCAGCCATATAGTCAGTCTTTTAAAAATTCTGAAATAAATTTTTTTATCCCAAAGCAAGAAGAAGGCAAAACACTCTTACTATAGTTAAAAGTGTTTCATATTTCCAGCTAGAAAATAAAATAAACTGAGCTTGTTTTAGCATATTTTTTTTATTCAAGGTCATCTGAAGATAGAAATTCCCTGTACAGTTCAGCTTCTTTTTTAAGCAATTTCTCTCTGAAAACAATTAATGTATTGAGGCTTCTAACTCTGAATAAATTGTTTGAAAAAGTTTCCTTCTATGCAAGGTACTCACTTTGTGTTAAACAATATTTTTTCTAATCTCTCCAGTGTGTTAATAGCCTATGACAAAGGCTAAACATTGACTGTGAACATTCAAAAGAAACACAGGCTAAGTTTCTTTTGAATGATCAGATCAATTTAAATTAATTAACAGTGAATCAGCTTCTGAAGTTATGTATATGAAAGCGTTGATCAACTGCCAAGCTAACATGTTTTCTTCTATTTTATGTCAAATTGCTTTGTTATTTAAGGGTCCGTGGTTCAAACCCCACCCCTGGCAAGTTTTGCAACATTTGTTATCAGTTTTAAATATTCCAATATTTCCGCTTAGAAAAATTAAAAAAAAACTTTTTAATCCAATTATTTTTCCATTTCAATCTACTAAAAACCAAAATATTTTATGATGTAATAATGATATTATGTCAGTAATGCAAAACAATATTTACTGGTCACCTAACCATTTTTTACCAAATATTAAAAAGTTCAGACTTTATGTGATAACAAGAATTTGACTACAAATATCGTTGCTACTTAATTACACTTTTTTAGTCCTAAAACTGAAACGAATAACAATTGTCTGATGTTTTTTCACAGAAAAAATTAATTCTGAAAAACATGTCAAAATCTAATCTAAAATTAACTTTAAAAACAACAATTCTTTCATAAAGTTGCCTTTTGAACCTTCTGTAGATTCTAAAATTTTTGAGTCATTTGATTCCAATTCAGTAAATATTCCTTTATATAAAGACTCAAATTCTTTATATGATGCTTCAATGCATCTTGCCTGTTGTATCTTAACCACTGGCAAAGACAATGCCATTTTTTTAGATATGGTAAACAAAGTATTTTGTCCTAATTCTATATTTGTTTTTCCAATATCTTCTAATATGAAAAGATCATTTAAAATTGAATGGCTCGGCACGCTTACTTGGTTAGCTTATTTTAGCAAAAAAGATGGAGCTTACTGTCTTCCTTGTACTTCGTTAGACACTAATTTAGTTTTCAAGCCTCATCAAGAGTGGGGTAATGCTGTTCCGGATTTAAAAAAATAGAAGTTGTGTTTTAAATAAAGATCTGTCTTCATTTTGCATGAAAAGTTTTGGTTTTGGTTTTACATGAAAGGTTTATTGTTTTGGTTTTACATTAAAGGTCTATGCATTACTTTCATGTTGCAACTCTAAAAGTAATAATATTAAGGTTGATTATATTATTCTCATTTAAAACTTCTTTCCGATAACCAAAAAAATTAGTTCCAATAATCAAAACAATAATATTTCTTGGTAGAAATGATCTTGCATTTTGCGGCCATCATAATGATACCAAATATCATCCTTATATTGGGGAACCTTTTACACTCTATAAAAATATTTTTATAGCTCTATGAAGTTACCTACTCTAACCTTTTAAAAGGTTAGAGTAGGTAACTTTATAGTGCTATAAAATTGGTAGGGATCGAATATGGAACCTCTCGCTTTATAAGCAAGAGGTTCCATGTTTGATTCCCACCATGTCCCTGTTAATACTGTGCTCAACTTGTTTCTCTGCGCAGCGGCCATGTTTGTCAAAATTCATGTTTCAGAGTTATAGAGTTGAGAGAGGGTTATAACCACAATTAGATAGCCTCTTCACCTCTTCACTGTAGTGACCTTCTCGGCCTCGAGGAGGTGAATTAACAAAAAAAAAAAAAAAAAAAATTATCATTAAAAAAATGTTTTAAAAGTGGGTTTTAGGTGTTTTGAAGCTTACCTAAAAGATTTTTATGAGAGTATTGTCAACTGTCAGTTTAAATTTTTAACAAAGAATCAACATTTTCTGAAGAAATCAGGGTTGAGATATAAAGAGATTTTTAGTCATTAAGAAATGATAGAGATAGAGGAAACCATTGAGAGATGATAGAGAAATGATAGAGAAAATCACTGAGATGATAGAGATAATATTTGGATTGTTGCTATATCAACTGATTTTTATGTAGAACATGCGAGGTGTGTTGCTACATCAACTGACAAATAGGTAGAACATACAAGAAGAGCTGCTAAATTGTCTGAGGATATTGACAAGAGCAGGCAATCTTTTTATTTAAAAAAAATATTTCCGGTCTTGTTTTTTAATTTTTTTAATGTCAAAAAAATATGGTAGATAAAACTTTCATCGAACCTTTACAAGTTTCTATGATGCCGTTCACTTAAATATGACATTTTAGAAGTGACAAAGCAATTTTTCATAACAAGACCTTTACTGATTTAACCCTATTTAGCAAATCAGGATTTTATTATAATGTTACTAGCATTAAAAAGATAACCATCCAAAGTTTACAAGCTTCTCCTATGAAATTGGGAACTATATAACAGAGTTTTTATTCTGCTTGGTAAGTTGCCTTCACAGCAGCAAAAGATTCTTACCAGCCGCAATATCAGTTTTATGTCATGACTAGGGCTGTCATAATCAGTTTTTTTAGCAAATTCTGAAGCTTCAAAGTAGCATATGAATGATTTTGAATTAAAAATAAAATTTATGTATATGGTGTATAAAACTAAATAATAACTTCAATAGAGTTTATTAATTACTTACGGTAGGGTCTCTGTCTGCACCAACAACTCCCTTAACAGCTCCTGTTTTTAAATCAACACTTCTGATGCTACTGCTTTCACTATCTGCTACAAAAAGTTGATTTTTTATAATAGCTAAACCAGATGGTTGAGCAAAAGAAGCTTTTGTAGGATAACTATTGTTACGATTTTCTTCTTCGCCACTCCCAGCAAACCTTAGTGCAACTTCTTTTTTTTGATGCCTATTGAGTATATTGATTATTAAATTAGTATTTTTAATACTTTTAATTATTTTTATTACTTTTAAACATTTGTAATGGATATTTTATTTTAAAAGTTTTTTAAACTTTTTATTAAACATTGAAAAAAAATATATATATAAATATAAATAACAGATTACGACAATAAGACAATAAGAACAGAAAAACAAAGAAAATGACAAAAAAAAAATCAAGAGCAATCATGCAACACCACAATAAAGAAACAATGACAATCAAAACAATCAATAGCAATCAACACAATAACTCATATAATAACTAAAAATAAAAAAATAAAATGCTTGTACTAAAAAAAAAAAGAGAAAAAAACTTTTTTTTTACTCTTTTAAATTAATTACCCTTTTTTAAGCCACAGACCATCTTTTAAAAAATAACACCAAATTTGGTGGGTTCCAGCAACAGCAATGTATAAACAGTTATTTACACAATCTGTTGTATCAGAACCTAATGAAAAAATTAAAAAGTAAAATATTAATTTAATTATAGAAAACATTTTATTAAAAAAAAATAAAAAAATAGAGTACCAGGGGAAGCACCAACAACAACATCCCAAGGAGAACTAATCTCTTGCTCTATTCCTAACTTCCCACCTTCTTTATCTTTTCCTTGCTTTCCATTACCAACAATAGTCTTTGTTATCCAATTTGCTACATTAATCTTAAAACAGAAACATCAGAATATCTTATTAAATTTTATAAATACAAATAATAAAAAAGATAATTAACTACAAGAGTTTTAGTGATAAATTTGAAAAAAAAATTAAATATAAAAAACAATTATTATTAATAGTTTTAGCTTCAATTTGAAGAAAATTTAAAAGATGTAATAATCAAATTAAAAGATATTATAATCAAATTTAAAAGATATTATAATCAAATTTAAAAGATATTATAATCAAATTTAAAAGATATTATAATCAAATTTAAAAGATATTATAATCAAATTAAAAGATATTATAATCAAATTTAAAAGATATTATAATCAAACTAAAAGATATTATAATCAAATTTAAAAGATATTATAATCAAATTAAAAGATATTATAATCAAATTTAAAAGATATTATAATCCAATTTAAAAGATGTAATAATCAATTAAAAAACAAAACAAAGAGTAAATTTTCTTTATTTATTAAATGATTATTACCAATTTTTTAAATATATATAGAACTAAAAATAAAACTAGAAAACCAAAATAAAAAGTAACAAACTATATAGTAAATATAAAAAAATAAAAAATTAGAATATATTAAGAACAATTGAAAATTTGAAAATATTTTTATCAGGAAGCATATTAAAATTTCTTGTAAAAAAATAGTTGTGCAATAAAACCCAATAGTAAAACTTGGTAGTGGTAAAGCTTGGTGGTGGTGAATCCAGTTTGAAATGTGGCTAACACTGTAGCAAGTACTAAAAATTTTCTCTAATAATTAAAAAATAATTAAGTAAAGAACCAAAAAATATTGAACAAAAAAAACAACCTTTCATTACCATCAAAAAATTGTGAACAAAAAAAAACAACCTTTCATTATTATCAAAAAATATTGAACAAAAAAAAACTTTCATTACCATCAAATTGTTTTAATCTATACTTTACAAATAATCATGATCTTTAAAGTGACTTTTCATCCATTCATTCTTATCCTATGAGAAATTCAACTTCTTTCTCATTTTAAGACTAATATAAATTCTGTTGTTTCATCTTCAGATCTTTTTATTTATGCCTCTAATAGTTTGTTCTAATATGTTACATATTAATAATATGTTATACACATATAATAGTTTGTTATAATTCATGTTTGGTCTAATAGTCACATGCTTGGTCTAATAGTTACATGCTTGGTCTAATAGTCACATGCTTGGTCTAATAGTCACATGCTTGGTCTAATAGTCACATGCTTGGTCTAGGTATATACTTAAGTATGAACCTATTTGCAGTGAAATCAGGTTTGAATTTTCTGATTATTCTTTCATTTAGCACCTCTTCACTCAATCACCTTTCTCTTTGTTTTTTATCATTCTCCTTTCTCATAATTCTTTAGCCAAGATTGTTGTTATTATCAACTTAAACGCTCACCACACTGATTGGCTTGGCTATAGTACTTATAGACCCTTATGTCTCAAAGACTCAAAAATTTTGTTTCAAAAGCTCCAACAATTTTGGAAAAAACACAATTTTAATGCTTTTAGGCCTCACATTATTATATTCTTACTCTTAACTCTTAATCTCTTATTTTTATTTTTTTTATTTGTTTTGTATTAATTTTGTTATATTTGAGCTGGTTCTTCTAATTAGGCCCTTTCTGTTTTAGATAAAATTTAAAAGCTTAAAAATTGTAAATATTGTAGGACTCTAGCTATTAAACCTGATCCTCTATCCCATTATTGCAATGATTATGTATAATCGTTTCATGCACTTCTCTCTTTTTTTGCAAATACTAACATGATTGGTTCTTTTGTTGACATGTTTGCCTGACTCATAAAATTTACAGTTCTTTAAGCAACTGCTTTCTTGCTCTTCAATTTTTGTTGTCTGTTAACTTTTAACTTAATAGGTGGTCGATTGCAGCCTTGGTAAGGGGTGAATTTGTTTGTGAAAAAAAAAATTAACAGGTGTTCTTCTAAATTAAATAAATTAAGTAAAGATTACTCGTTAAAAGTTGGTCTGAATCTCATATTGTATTTAGTTTGCATCATAACTTCATGTTGTTGTTGTTCGTCTTAATAACCTCATGTAAAAAAAAGTAATTTTTTTTTTTTTTTTTGTAATTTATTTATCAAATATAAAAACATATTTTATTTTTCATTTTTACATAACTTAAAAACATATTTTATTATTCATTTTTACATAATTCAGATTAAAACAAAAATTTAAAAACAAAATCAAAAAATGTTTAATAATCAAAAAAACTCTTTATATACAAAACAACAAGGGAAATAAAAATGCCTCTTACCTCGCTTACCTCTTCTTTTTATGTTTAAACTTATTAGTCCACTTTTCTATTTGTTAGTGCAATTGCATAAATTTTTAGATTACACTTGCACTTATTTCAGTTACCAATATCAAAAAATTTTAATTGGTTAACTGCATTTCATTCTATTACAAATTTGCAGCGTCTATTTAAACAAACTAATGTTTTTAAAATATTTTATTTTATGCAAAATATTCTACCCATAAAAAACAAAAAACCAGATTCTAAATGTTCTTTTAAATGTAATAAAAAGCTCCATACTTGACTTAACTTTACCTGTCAAACATAAACTTTATTATTATGTCTGCACTTTTAAAAGTAAAATTAAACATAAGCTTAATTATTGTGTCTGACAAAATTAACTTGACATCCTTGAAACAAAAATCCTGCAAATTATGATAAATTATGATAAATTATGATAAAGACAATAAACACAGCTCTTGATTTCTTCATTCTCTCTTGTCGATCAGAAATACCATGTTTCAAATAGATTTTGACATTTTATAAATTAAAAGAAAAACAACAATTATTTTTTTTTTATAAAACCAGTTGTTGTTTTTCTTTCAGTTGTTGTTCTTTTAGTATTGAAGTTGTTTGATTAAAACTTGAAACTTGAACTATCAAATCATAGATGAGAAGTTTACACATTTGTTTCATTTATCACATTTTTTTTGTCATATTGCCTTTTCTCATTATATAAATGTGTTGGCATTGCTGTCAAGAAAATTTTTTACTTAGTTTCAAAGGTAAGGTTAGTTTTATTGTTAATGGTAATATGAAAAGAGCATTTTGAAACAATTAAAAATACAAACTTAATAAACATAAACATTTCACTCCTTAGCAATATCTAGATGAAAATGACAGTGTTTTATAAAAATACAGACACTAAAATTTTGGGCCTGTTAATAATTTAAGGTTTTGTCCATATCAAGACCTGATCATGGTCATGATCATGTCTTCATTGTGGTCATGACCATGTCTTTATCGTGGTCATGATCGACATGATCATGTCTTGATCATGGTCTTTAAATAGGAAGCCTTGATCATGGTCTTTGAGTAGGAAGCCTTGATCATGGTCTTTGAGTAGGAAGCCTTGATAACAAAATCACAAAAAAATTTACAAAAACCAATTTTTTGCGTGTTGTAGTTGTAGACTATTCAATATTTTGGATTTTTTTGATTTTGATTTTGATTTTGATTTCAACAAATTTTCAATGTTTTTTTAGTTTTTTCAGAAGTTTTTTTTTTATAAAAAGAAACTTTTAAATAATTTAAATAAAATATTTTGAGTTAATGAAATATTTAATATTTTATGTCATTTTATAAGTAAAAAATATTTAATATGTAATTCTTAATATGTTATTTTAATTTTATTTTGCAGAGTTTTTGTTTAGAAGAATTTTTGCATAAATATTTACGTATAACAAAAAATTTTTATTCTTTCCCAAAACATTTGCTATTTTTTTCTAGGACTTTCCCAAACATTTGCTTTTTTTTTCCAGGACTTTCCCATACATTTGCTTTTTTTCTTTTTGAAATCTCGTATTTTTCAGAGGAAGTAGCCACCCAATATTAACATAAAAGAAAAAACTTAATTTTTATAAACAGAGCTGTTTTTAAAGATCTTTAAAAAAATTTGGAAGATATTATAAACTTTTATTAACAAACCTCTCTGATTGAATGGTTTTCAGTGTCAGCTACAAAAATAACATTTTCAATCCATGACAAACCTTGGGGTGAAGAAAACTGGGAAACGTGCGCTTCACCATCTTTGAAGCCTGGAAAACCTGTACCAATTCTTTTAACAACATAACCATTTCTTTCGATTATTAAAACTTGATGATGACCAGAATCTGACACTGCTAACATTTTTCCACATGGAGATGCTGTTAACTTTCCAGGATATCTCAAATTTTTAAACTTCAAAGAACTTTTTTCCAACTGAATTGGAAGTGCATGACTGCTTAACAAACCTAAATTTACTTTAAATTATTATAAACTATTATTTCTGTATATCTTTAAATTATTATAAATTATTATTTCTGTATATCTTTAAATTATTATAAATTATTATTTCTGTATATCTTTAAATTATTATAAACTTTTATTTCTGTATATCTTTAAATTATTATAAACTTTTGAATTATTACAAAGACTTTTAAATTATTACAAAGACTTTTATTTATTCTTATAAATTACTTATAAATTATTTCTGTAATTAGCAATATAATTAAAAAACAATTTTTATTTAAAATAAAAATTAAAAATTAATAAAACATTAAAATTTTATCAAAACCTCAATAAATATCTCAATTCCTAATAAAATTTAGTAACATAATTTTTTATTCAAATTTTTTGGAATCATTTTTAGTTACATTTTAGTTAATTTATGCATAACCAGTTAATTTATGCATAACCAGTTAATTTATGCATAAGCAGTGAAAAATATTTCAAGATTTTGATACCCTTAAACTCCTGCGCAGTTTTAAATCAAACCTCAATTCCATGGTTTTCACCTTCAGCACCTATTTTTAAGCATAATCATTTTTTTTTTCATCTTTTTCAAAAGAACAACTCTCTTGAGAACAAAGTTTATTATTACAAGTAATCAATGTAAAAAGGTGCTGTCTAATGCTAAGATTCAATATTTTCAGTTTAGAAAATATTGCAGCTTAGCAACCGTCAACCTCTAGAGATTAAAAGTCTTTAACATTAACGTGTCATTAACAAAGTGTCATTATTCCAAGTCAAATATTCCATCTTTAATTCATGGGTCTTATTCCCTCTCCCAAGGATAAGACAAAACTATTTCCAAAGAACTTTTCCTCTATTACTAATAATCCATTACATCCAAATCACTCTGGCTTTATTGCTAGTCATTTCTCAATTAAAATCTTCTGTCTTGTGGTCCAGTCAACACTCCTGTCATTGCCTTACAAAAGTGGTCTCCAGAGCTCTCTTAAATTCTCTCTTAACTGTTTGTTTTTTCTGCCTAATGGAAAATGAGATCTGTGGTTTAAATTCTGCAAAACAGTCTGACCTCTCCAACTCTATAGCTAAATCAGCCTCTATTTTTAGCCAGGTCTTTAATCAACTGAGTTTGAGTCAATCTTTGAGTCAGTAATCAACAGGTTTCGAACATTCCTTCTTGAATCTAATAGCTTACACTCTGACAATCAATACAGTTTTTGATCTAATGTGCATTAGATGGAAGCAGTAAGGCAAAGGCTTTTGCTCTTGACATATGATAAAGCTTATGATAAAGTTTGGCATGCTGATCTTCTCCATAAGCTTGCTTTATATAATGTTTTAGGGAAAGTTTTTGAGATTATTAAAGTAATCCTTGAAGGCCAACTCCTTTTCATTTCCAATAACTAAAACAGTACTGCAAGGTTATATCCTTGGTCCTGTATTATTTCTACATTATATCTACATTAATGATCTTCCTAATAACCTTACATATAAAGTGGCTCTATTTGCAGTTGAATCAACTTGATTAGTCATCAGCAATGACTCAAATGACATACTCCTGTCTTGACAAAAGGTCTTTTCTTTTTGATTGTTTAGAACAGACAACTGATCTTGATTCTGTTTTCTCTTTTGTAACAGCTTGTAGCTTGAAATGGCTTTTTATTTGCTACAAACAACTATCAAAATACTGCTGATATTCCTAAACTATTGAATGACAATTCAATCACTGAGTCCCCTTCTTTACAATTCAATCACTGAGTCCTCTTCTTTACACCTTCTTAGATTATTATTCACTCATACATACGATATATACAATCAATGGCATAATTAGCATCTGCAAAAATTTTCTTTATTGTGACCATTATCTGATTCCATTCTCTGACTCCAAAAATCTCTTATTTATCGCTGTATTGAATGTTGTCATATTTATCTTCTAATGATGCTTTTTCTCTTTAACACTTAAACATTGATTTATATAAAATTTTAAATTATATAAAGTTATGATACTATTAATGAAGAAATAAATTAAAACAAAAATGTAATTAAAACATAAAGATATTATAATAATTAATATAAAACATAAAGATATTATAATAATTAATATAAAGTTAATCTTTGTTATTTATAAACATTTAATTATGTTATGACTAATGAACATTAACATTATGAACATTATGAACATTATCAAAAAGCTAAAAGATAAATTTATTTTACATCGCTATACTGAAACATTACCTGGAAAATTATTGTTTTTAAATAAGTAGAAAAAACTGGATTGTATTGGGATATCTAATTTATTAAACACTTTTGATCTAGATCCGAATTTATAAAAAAACAAGATCAGATATCCGGTCTGCTATTTTCATATCGGATATTATTTAATTCATATACCAGATCGAAAATTAAAATATCAGGTTATTTAGATAATTTTGCTCGCCTCAACCTACGATATATAATAGTGTTAACAGCCTTCTTGGAAGTTTGTATTAAAAAAATTAATTATTCAAAAAAAAGACAATATATATTAAGTACCTACAATTTACTAATGCTTGTATGTATACTACTTATGCATATACTATGGAAGTATGCTGCTGTACATTTCTGTGTATGTATACTATTGCAGATTTTCGTTATAGATTTGTGGTTACTTGTGTTTTTAAATGCTTAGTTTTTGTAGAAAAAATAAAAAAGAAAAAGAAAATTTTATTTTCATAAAAATATTTTTTCACATAAATACACTATCTATACCTGCCATGTTATACCTAACACATAAATGTTGTTTTAACAATTTCAGATCAAGTTTTAATTTAAAAAAATGTGGAAGAATGTACAATCATAAATTCATAAAGAAACATAAAGATTATAAAGCAAGAGCTGGTACTTTTTGTTAAATTAATAAAAAAATAAAAATAAAAAAACTATACCTTCTTTAAACTTATTGTTTTAATTTTCATTTATTTAAAAACATTTATACTACTTACATTACAATAACATAACATTTCTAATTCAAGAAAGTGAAGAGAAGAGCAACAATTTTACTTACAGGGGGTAAAAAAAGGAAAACTCTAGCATTCAAAAATTTAAAAACGATAAAAAAATAATAAATAACAACTTTGAATTTTAAAACTTTTCTGTTGCAGTTATAACAATATTTTGAAATAATGTAGGGGAGAGTAGGGCACCATCCAGATTGTAAGTGTGGAGGCAACTTGAGTTGCGACAACCATTTTCATATGGTAAAAAAAACAAACTACTAAAGCTATGCTTTGAAAGAAAAGTTATACCATTTGATATCATTAGGCCTGTGAGGAGTCAAATTTTTCTGTTTTTATAGAGTTATTTATAAGTTTTTAAAGTTGCTAAGTTTTAAGGTATGACATTCAATGTGTCAATTGGAAAGTATCATTATTTTGTAAACTACAATCCATAAGCTCTTTACTCTATTAAATAAAATTATTGAAAAAACAAATTGACACTAAAAATATAACAATTGTTTTCTATTAGTAAGTATGGGGTAACTTGATACACCATTTGTGGGAATGCCTTAAAACTGCAGAATACTCTATTGTGTAATAAACAATTCTAAAAATAATTTCTTTTAATATTTACAGCCAATTTTTAGGAAATTTATGTAAATATAATACTAGAAGATCTAATTTTGACTCTGAGCCATTACTCATTGACGTTTAAGAATGAGATTTAAAATCTGGATTTCTCAAATATGAATCGGTCCATTGGATACATTATTTGTGTTATAATTATTTATTTTTTTATTTTTTCAAGTAAAAATTTCTTCATGGTTTAAGTAAATATTTCCTGTTAAAATTAACATTAAATTTAATGTTTTAATCAAGTCATGTGTAAATATTTTATATAAGCCCAGGGCCATGGAGAGGATAAAAATGTGCTGATGCAAAAAGCAATTGGGCCCCCCTCCTTATGACAATTATTTTATAAAGACATTCAGAACGTAATAATAATTATAGTAATAAGTACTTGCTTATAAGAAACCATTACTTCCCAAAAAAGAGAGGTTCAGAAATATTTAATGGGGCTGGAGATTTTATTATTTAAAATATTATTATTTCTTAGTAAACGTAGTTTAGTAAAAGTAGTTTTTTGTATTTATAAAAATTATATTGCAAATATAATAGGTAAAAATTGCAATAAATAATATTGGTAAAATGGGTTAATCTAAAAAATTTCTCATTTTCTAAGAAAAAATTTTTTTCTGAAAATTTTGTATATATAATTTTAAAAAATTTATATTATAATAAAGTATATGTTTAAATATATAAAAAATATTTAACATTTAAATATATAAAAAATATTTAACATTTTTTTATTTGTTGATGTTTATATTGATTTTTAATTCTTTAAACAATAAATTACAACTCATAACAATAAATTTTATATTTGGTTACCATAACCATAAATCCATTTTAACATGGAAGTAATGTGTAGAAAATAAAGTGGTGCAGCGCTGTGATTTAGAATTACTATATTTTTAAAACCTTGCGTATGAATTTATTTTTTAAAATGTGTCATGGACGGAGTGCATGTTCAAAGATATGGAAATTTGCATGCACATTATTAGAAATTTCCTATCCCTTTATAACAAAAAACTATGTTATTAAAGGTTTAACTTATTTCTGTTAAATTTTTTACAACAGTAAGGGCCCCATCTATGTTTCCCTCCCCAGGCCCCTCAGTACCAGTCTGACCCTGTATTGAGAAACTTACCATTGCTGCTAATTGACACATGTTAATACACATATTTCAATAATAATTTACAAAATCATTAACTTTGTTATTTAGAAGTTAATGTCTTATTCTTAAAATCATTAAAAAAAACATTGAATAACCAACAAACCTTTATTTCTGTATTTTTTTAATGCAAATTCTACAAAGTTGAATAAGAAATTTCTATGACCTTCTCCAACTAAATATAAAAGTACTTGTCCAATAGGACTAACAACAACCAGTGTTGGCCAGCATTGAATATTCATTTCATTCCAAAGAACAGCATTTGGATCATTCACAACAGGATGAGAGATATCATATCGAATAACTGCACTAAGAATATTTGACAAGATCTTCTCATTTTGAAACTTGGCAGAATGAATACCTAAAACTACTAAACCATCTTGGACAGAAAAACTTTCTTCAAGATCATGCAAATCTAAGCAAAAAAAAACTTCTTTAAGATCATACAAATCTATTTGCAAATTTATGCATTAAAAAAAATAACCTTTTTCCAAAAATCATGCAAATTTATGCATAAAAAAAATAACCTTTTTCAAAAATCATGCAAACTTATGTATTAAAAAAAAAACTTCTTTAAGATCATACAAATCTATGCAAAAAAAAAAAAAAAAAAAAAAAACTTTTCCAAGATCATGGAAATTTACCAATAAAAAAAAAGCTTTTTCAAGATCATGCAAACTTATGAATAAAAGAAAAAAGCTTCTTTAAAATCATGCAAATTTATGCATAAAAAAAGGTAATCTGTTGAAAATGTGCCAATACTTGTTCACCATTTCACCACAAAATGGGCATATTGAATGTGTGTTCTCATTAAATCAAACCTAGTGGACAGATGAATGCAAATTGCTTTCTATAGACACAATGAAATGTATAGATCAATGCTTTATAAATGTTAAAATTTCATGAGTGAATGAAGGGAAATGAAGAATGTACGATGAAATATTTTTGATTTTTCTAGTCTTTACTCAACCAAGAGCTCTGAACCAGGGTGCATTTTACATCTAAGTTGATACCTAAGGATTGCCTAGAAAAGGGAACTCAACAAGGCATCAGAAGATATGGCAGGTCATGCTGAGTTAGATGTTACCAGTAGCAGGGTGAGCACAATAATTCTGATTCTGATTTAAAAACTATATGAATCATTTTACATTAAATTTTCATTACACCATAATCCTTTTTGTTTTTTAAATACAATACTATTTGACAGTTTATAAAAAAATGATGAACATTGAACAAATCAAAATCCTGACAGATATTTTTAATTTAATATATTTATGGAAAAACTAGTGATTATAAACGATATTTGGAAACTTTGTTTTTATTCTAATAATCAATAAAGCACAACATAGCAAGTTTAAAAATTAAAACTATTAAAAATTCTAAACTTTAATTACCAGTAAAAAAGTTATTTGAGTTTAATTGTCAATTATCATTATTTTATAATAACTGCAGTATAACTGCAGTAATTAAAATAAGAACTACATTTAAACTTTAAACACGAATTATATTTAAATTAATCTATGCAGATCAGAGACGGATTCAGGAATTTTTGGTGAGGGAAGGAAACGGGGAGGGGGATGTTGAAATATTTTTGTATTTTGTACCACATTTGCGCCTCCTAAATAATAAAAAAAGGTCCTCAATTTCTCAGATGTTTTAGAACTTTCAGATTCTGGTAAAAAGGGGGGTTGCATACCCTCCAACCCTTGGATCCATCACTAATTCAGATCAGTGTAAAAAAATGGTTTAAAAATATAAAACAGCTTATGTGTTAAAAAAAAACTTACCTGGTAATATATGCATACAATTAATACAACAATAAGTAAAAAAATCTAGCACACAGAGCTTTCCTTTCAGATCTTTATTAAACTGTAGTTTTTCTTTTACATTTAACCATTGAAAACCAAAATCAAACTCTGGCACCTTAATATTGCATAACTCAATGTCTTCTAAAAATACTTGAGTCAATTTTTCGAAATCATCTGGGTTTGCATTCACAGCACCTAAGTAATCTATACTCTTCAAACTTATCTTATTAAACATTTTTAACTTCTTTTTAATTTGCTAATAATAACAGTAATTGATAAAAATAGTGAAAAAATAAAAGTTAAAACAAAATATAAAACATAAAAAAACTAAAAGCATTGGATGTGATAAATTTTTAAATTTGATTAAATTTAACTTGATTCCTTTTGTAGTAAAAACATTTTAAAAAATTGGTTGACTAGTATTTCATGTATGTAAACTAATTAAATTAAAAATGCAACTTGCATATTGTGTATTAAAAAAAAAAATTTTAAGTATATTTGAACAAAATAGTTTGCATAAATTAAGAATTTTTAAAAAAGAATTTACTTTGTGAAACATTGAAACTTAAAATATAAGAAGAGTCTATCAAAATAATATTATCTATACTTTTAAGCTTCATTTTCACCATGCTTTTTTAAATAAAAAATTTCATTTTATTGAGACAAGAGTCACAATAAAAGAATACAAAATGCTTTATTTACATGTTATTTACATGAGTTACAAAGGAAAAAACATTTTCCTTAGCTTTTCACGATGTTGCATAATTATGCAATAATATTTTGTGAAACACTTTTTAATTTTAAATATATTTAGTTTTGTTTTTGCTTTTTTTATTTTAAGTACATAAAATGCGACTCAATCAAAAAATTACAACGAAACATGAAAAGGTAAAGCTTATATTAAACACATTTAAAATTACAGTAAAAAAATAACAGCAACAAAAATAAACAGAACTAATATTTATATAAACTCCTTTATTTCCTTTGCTTCATTTATTATTACGTTAATAAACAACTTTGTTGTATCATAGGTTGCAAAACTAATACCAACTGCAATAGGTCCTTTTATCCAATTGATACTTAAACCTTTATAGAAACCTTTAATAAAACCTTCAGTTTTTAAAACATGAGACAGTGTCCAAAATATATTTTTATATATGTAACCTTTTCCGTCAATTCCATCTATCTGCATTCTTCTTCTAACAATATCCATCGGATAGGTCACTGTTTGGCCACAAGCTCCAGCAATAGCACCAAATAGCAATCTATTGATAATTAAAATTTCATGGTTATTATTATTATAGTAATGTTTCTTTAGCGATTCATAAACGAAAAATGAAACACCAGCATAAGGCAAAATACCAATAACAGTTGGTATAAAACCATTATAAAAAGTTCGAATTCCTTCTTCTTTATAAATTGTTGCAAACGTGTGTCTAAGGCTTTTGTATTTGGAAAAATTTGATACAGCCATTCTTGCACGAACCATATCAAGAGGATAAGTTAAAATTACAGCTGTTGCTCCAGCCATTGAACCTGCTAATAGCCTCTTTAGTGGAGGCAAAGTTTCATGGTTTACACTTCCTAATAATCTTTTAATTTCCTCATGTGCAGTAAATTGAATAGCAGCATAGGGAATAACACGAGCCATCATTGCACTGTTACCCCTCCACCAACTGCGTAGCCCGTACTGAGTATAACTCTTTGAAAGATTTTCAATAGCTTTTGCATAAGTAAAGGGCGTATTTGAGACCTGAAACATTATTTTTGTTCTATCTAATGGAGCAATTACGGTTTTAGCGAGAGCACCAGCACAAGCCCCTGCAAATAAAGAGGTTATAACATCTCTTTTTGAAAACTTTTTTTCAATTACTTTGGCAACTGACTTTGTACTTGTATCATTACTTAAAGGAAGAGGGAAAGGTTGATCCTGAATTTTGCTTTTATCAGTGGCATAAGTCATATTTTAAAGTTCAAGAACACGATTAAACGTTAAAAAATGTATACATTAATAAATTTCGATGATATTTTAGAGCTTTTCAGTTTACTGCGAAATTACCAATATAAGAATCGACAAAAAGTATTTTAACAATCAAAACATTATCCTGCTTATCAACCCCGCATATCAAGTCTAACACGTCCGAATTCGCGATACAAAGTCACCTATGAATAGAGTAATTTTATATCAGTCATAATTTAATAATTTCATAATTTAAAATTTTAAAATTTTAGTTAGCACGCTTGGATTCCAATGTATTTGGGTATGGGGATTCAATTCTGATTATATTCTTGTAAAGTATAAACGTTTAGCTACCGGTAAATTACAGTTAAATTTATATAAATAAAAAGGCTTTTTTTAAAAATATATTATGCAAAACAAAGTTTTGTAAACAAAAATACTGCGTCTATGTTAACACCACCCCTCCCCCTTCCCCTCCTCCCAATCCCCCACCCCCTCATAAAAAAAAAAAAAAAAAAAAAAACCGACAAAAAAAACAACAAACTGGACTCAAATTGTGGACATGACATAAGGTAAGTTGGAGAATTTCGGGCAGCATTTCGTGCAAACAGCCTTATGCATCAAAAAAATCACACGGACACTAATTAAATCAAAGTGTTGTTTCACGTTTTTAATTTAGTACAACCTTTCCGCATCAAGTTACTGTTGTCTGTCGGTAGTCCAAATATTTATATTAAAAAAGCTATAATAAGTTACGATACATCGGTTTTTCACGTAAAGTGAAAAAACGTAAATCTTTTTACACTTAACTTTTACTCTTAACTGTACATAAATGAAGCACGACACTTTTTTGAAAGAAGTACTAATCGTTTACCCAAGTTTAAAAAATAAATTTGGAAACGTAAAAAAATAATAACAATATCAAACAAATACTTTTTTGATGTAAAAAATTTCTATCATTATTTTATTTTTACCTAACAATGATTTTGAATGCCTTTATGGCTTTAACTATCTTTAAAAGCATTCTTAAGGTTGCTAGTGACATCTTTAAGGTTGCTAGTGACATTTCTAAGACGAAACAACAAAATTAAAGCAACAGCTGCGAAATTATCCGCATGGCTGGATTTCTTTTAACTAAGCAATATTTGAATTCAAATTTCACCTTTTTAAAAATATAGTTTCATCATAGTAGAATATACAAGTTAAAATTTTTTAATTAAGTTTGTTATTGTGATTATGGACTCTAAAAAAAGACAGAAGTACCAAAAACATAACGAGGAAGCTGTTATGGCCGCTGTTGCTGATAATAGCCGCGGGCCCCATGTTATGTTCCAACAAGTAATCCAACTCTAAGTCAAACATTTAATCGCTAGCAAAACATTTACAAAAAATTATACATGAATTAAGTATTTCATTTTGAATAAATCTGCTAAATTTAACTTGCACGAAATTGTGCAAATCATAAAAAAAAAATTCAAAACGAAAACAAAAAAACAAATAAAATATACTATTTAATAATTGCCTAATTATTACTATTTTGTAGATAAAACAGTTAGCTGCCTAAATTGAGCTCATTATACTTTTGGTGGCCGTTTATTTATATTTTATAACGTTTACAGCAAATTTTCAGCAAACTGCCTGAAATTCTCCAACTTACACTAGCAAGAGAAGCAATTAATAAAACACAAACAAATTAAACATCAAAAAATATCTTTGCAATAGGTATTTTATATAAATGTCGCCCGTTTCTTGATTTCTGTTCAAGAAAAAAACTTTACTTTAGTCTAATTCATAGTCATCTAAAAAGGCTTGCAAAGCAATTTATTATTCATTATAAATAGAAGGGACAATCCTTCTAATGCGATAACAAATATGAAAGCCTTAAACTTAGAAAAACTTAATTTATATAAGATTCTTTTTTTTATGTTCAAATATAAAAATAATATACTACCAAATTCATTTTTAGACATATATTCGTCATCATTTTCTCAAAGTTATAATCTGCGATCAAATAACTTCCATAACTATTATATTCAAAAAACTAAAAACCGGGATTCTGAATTTTCAATTATGTCACAAGACCCCAAAACATAGAAAAATCAAAAATTAAAAGACTTAAATGGAATTTCGTCGTTTAAACGAGTAGCAAATCTGCATATTCTTGGTTTGTAAAAATGATTGCAATAAATAAAAAAAATTAAAAAAATATTAATAAAATAAAAAAATATATAATAAAAGTAGAAATAGTAATTACAAAGCTAGTTACAAAAGAATTATTTTTAAATTTACCTGAATATATATTATTTGTATATTATATATATATATATATATATATATATATATATATATATATATATATATATATATATATATATATATATATATATATATATATATATATATATATATTGAATTATAAATTTATAAATTAATATTTTGCTAACTTATTCTCTGATACTTTTACATAGATATAGATATACGCCAAATGGCGCTGCTAAGGGAATCTGCGAAAAGATTTTTTTTGGAGTTTTATTCCCAAAAACGCTAAATTATCTTTGATTTCCTTTTTTTAGGAATTAAAGTTTAGAAAAATAAATATATATAGTAGTTATTATACCAAAATCTATATTAAAGTTTGCATCAATATTACATTAATGTATCAATATTATATTAATGTATTTTCATCAATCTGATACGTAATAATTTTGTATATATATTATTATTATTATTATAGTTGTAGCCGTAAAATATACATACCATATATACATACAGCGAGCAGGGAAAACACCCTACTATAAACAACCAGTTTTATAAATATTTGTTCCGAATTTTATCCTCAACCAGTTATCTAATCTAATTTTAAAAGAAAGTACAGTAGAGTATAAAGTTACTTGCTCGGGTAGTTCATTCCAGTATTTTGCTAATCTACTATATAATTGGTAGTGTCTTGGAAGACAGTTTGGAACATATTCACGTCTTATTTTAAGATGGTGACCACGTGACAATGAATTAATAAATTTTGGTTGATATATATTATTATTATATCAAATCGATATATTAGTTTAAAAATTTGTATTAGATCGCATTGTAGGCGCCGAAACTCGAGCGATGGTATGTTTAGTCTTTTAAGTCTTTCATAGTATTGAAGGTTTCTCAAGTTTAAAGCCCATTTTGTTGCTTTACGTTGAACAGATTCAACCAAAGCTACGTCAGTTTTTAAATACGGGGCCCAAACAGACACTGCATATTCAAGGTGTGGTCTTATAAACACTTTACATAATTTGAGAGACATTTTATCATCAACGATAGTGAATGTCCTTTTTAGCATACCAAGAATTTGTAAAGATTTGGAGACAACTGATTGAATATGTGTACTCCACTTGAGGTTAGATGAAAAAATGACTCCTATACCGCGCTCTTTAACAGAGCTTCTTAAGCTTTCATTAATACCTTAGTTATTTTGCAAAAAGTAGCTATACATAGGATTGGTTTTACCATAATGGATAACACAGCATTTTGAAATGTTTAATTTAAGTAACTAAGTGTTTGACCACTCGTATACTAAGCGTAGAGGGTCCTGCAGATCAACGAAATTAGTCTGCGATGAAGTTTTAGAAAAAAGTTTAGTATCGTCTGCAAATACTTCAGAAGTTTCTGTAAGTTACACGATCGTTACAAGATCGTTTGTAAAAAAAAAAAAGAGGAGCCGAGAACAGAACTTTGAGGAACACCACTAAGAACATCAACCCAGTCAGAGTTAGTATTGTTAATTGTATCGCGTTGCTTTCTGCCTACTAAGAAAGAATCAATCAAAAAAAGAAAAAAAAAATTAATATAAAAATTAAAGATAAAACCAAATTATAATAACAAGTAAATAATTTTTTGTTTTATAAGCTTAAAAAATTTGTTAGCGGTCTTAAGATCGTCTTTAAACAAACGCACTTAAAAAGTCATACAAAAGGAAGGGAAGAAAAAAAAAATAACTTCGAATTAAAAAAAAAAAAAGGAACACTTAATAAACTTAAAAAAAACGGAAAAAAAAAATAAAAAGAAGAAGAATTAAGTAAACTAAGAAAGACGAAAAAACAAAGAAGAAAAAGTATTAGTAGTGCCAGAAGATTGTAGTGAAACTTTAGAAGAATTTAGTTTGTTTATCTTAAAATACGCTTTTAATTTAATGTAATTATTCTTATTTTTGAAATTATTATCATTTTTTTCTAGCTTTACTTGTTTGTTTTCATTAATTTTTTCCTTTTTCTTATATTTTTTATTATTATATATACTTATTGTTTTATTATTGTTATTATAATAATTGTTATTGCTACTATTATTATTATTATTATTATTATTATTTTTATATATCTATATAGTTTGTTAGGTTAGTTACTATAGTTTTACTTATTAACTTATAATAGAAAGTATAAACTTAATAATTTATTATTATATTTTCCACTTATTATAACTATAATATTTTACTTATAATCATTTATAATTTATTATTATTTTAATATAAATTGTTTTATTTTATACTTACAACTTATCATTTAACCAATTATAACTTTTTTTTAATACATATTTACGTTATTCTTCTTTTACTTTATTAATAGTATTTTTTCATTATTTATTTTAACTGTTAAATAAATATTATTTTTGTTTTACTATTTTATCAATTGAATTATATTTATATTGTTAATAAATACTATTACTACTTTTATTATTTTTGGTTATATTGCTTTTCATATAACTCTTTGTTTCCTTATTTCGGTTCATTCAATCATTTCATTTTATAAACTGTACCACTTAAACGTCTACTCACTGCAAAGATTGCTTCAAAAAAATTAATAAAAACCTTCAATGTAATCATTGCCTAAACCTTTTTCATAAAAAATGTTGTCGTCTGAATGATATTGAATTTAGAATATTGAAAAACTCTAAAACATCTTGGTTCTGTATTTCATCTAGAGTAAAAATTTTTCCATTCAGTACTTTATCAGATAAGGAGCTGCACCTGCAAACAATTATAATAAATTGATTCATAATAATGAATTCGAAAACAACATATCATCTTTCCCAAACACCATACAGTCTAATCTTTATGATTATATATAATATAAACTTACTGATTTAATAATAGAATATAAACTTAATAATTTTATTTCCCATCAACTTAATAA